TTGAATGGTGTGTTTCTGAGCTTTACAATTAGTTTAAGAGTGTTGATCATACAATAATATAAGAATAAAAGATGAAAAGGATTGAAAAGTTTGGAATAGAGCAGTGTGTCCCTGCATTTAGGACATGCAAAGCCCCATTTTAGAATAAATCTTTATGGGGGACCCCCTTAGGCCTACCTTTTCAAACATGTTGCATCAGTTATAAAGTCATTTAACATCAATTACATTACATTACCTTTTTTTTTTTTTTTTTAAAATGTACTTTTTAAGTATTTTTTAACTTTTTTTTAAAAAAGGATTGAAAAGTTTGGAATAGAGCAGTGTGTCCCTGCATTTAGGACATGCAAAGCCCCATTTTAGAATAAATCTTTATGGGGGACCCCCTTAGGCCTACCTTTTCAAACATGTTGCAGCAGTTATAAAGTCATTTAACATCAATTACATTACATTACCTTTTTTTTTTTTTTTTTAAAATGTACTTTCTAAGTAGTTTTTAACATTTCTTTAATAAAGTAAACACTGTAGATAATTAGTTTGAAAAAATATATTTCAATTAAAGCAGATTTGCAGATTTCAGAGGAAATCAACAAAATAGATAAAATATACTAAACTCAAATATATATTTTTTTTCATGTTACATCAGTTACAATTCCAAAATTTATTATTTTTACTATAATGCTTGAGACTCTGTTCGAATCATACCACACATAAGTCTTGCTACAGACTAATTTTAAGGAACAACGAAAAACTCTAACAAGGATTTTCAAAACTGCAAAAAAAAAGTAAAAATTCCATTTATTTGGATCAATAAAAGTATCTTTTCTTATCTTACATTTTGATAAATTATTTTTTTTTTTTTTACTGTCTAACAACTTATGACCCAAGACCATGTATAGTTAAATTAAGCAAACTAAATGAAATTTATGAATTATTTGGATGCAAATTAAAATTACTTTGCTAAAAGTGAAAGTTAATGGTTTATTTTTATTCTTGGAGCGGAACAACAGAGAAGAGCATGCAAAGCCTTTAGGAGTCTGCAAAATACAGGTTGGGAACCACTGGAACAAACACAATTATGAGAACGGATAGCCTCGAGTAGCCTGTAATGCTGTGCTGACTGTATAGTTAATGTACATCTTAAATTTTTATTAGGCTCCTTATTTAGTAAACGTGCATACATTTATTTATATTTTTATTACATTTTTCTATAGTCTGCAGCATGTGACTGTCAGCAGTATGTTAGGTGGCTATTTTAATAATCATTGTACATAGTATAGTATTAGTTCTATGGATCAGGAAAGACTAAACTAAAGCCTATACCTAATTAATCAATCTATTCTGGTTTAATCAATCTATTCTGGTTTAATCAATCTATTCGGCCTAGATTTTACTCAGTTGTCAGTTGTACATAAAATAGGTCATTTTCAAATGGTAATATTTAAAATGTTTAAATCAATAAAAAGTTCTAAATAATGTTCTTTATCTTGTTAGGCTTTATGCCGAAACGTCCTTCTTTTTTTGTCCTGTACTCTTATTCAAGCTTCCACATACCTCCTTTTGCTATTTTGTTCATTTACTAAGCTTGAATGCAGTCCTTTAATTTATATTTTCTAAATCCAACTTAACATAATTCTGATAATTTACAATTTATGCCGAGTTGAAGTTGATTTAAGGCCGCCAGTAACAGTACTGTTAAGTTTGGGCAATTCAGGCTGTTCTTGAAAACATTAGGCCTATTTATTTTTTATGCTATTTTATATTAACTGTAAGTATTAATTTAGTATAAAAATAAATAAACCCAAAGTCCAAAGCTAATGCAGCTAAAACCATGCCATGTAACTTTAGTCTATAGTCTACTGAGTGCACTACTCATTTAAATTAATTAAATTATGACAGCAGACCAGTCTCATACTAATAACAGCAGACCAGTCTCATACTAATAACAGCAGACCAGTCTCGTACTAATACTTAATACTAGTCGTAAGTGATGATAGTGATAGAACGTCAAGAAAGAGTTAACTGACTTAGTCTTAGTCTTTAAAGTCTTTACTGGCGATACTGAATTTACTAAATAATTTCACTGATCACTATGATATTCTAATGATACAATATCTATAATAATTCTATAGTAAATAATAGCCCAGTCTATGACTTATGACTAAAGTCATAGTGTACACTACGGACAACAGTTAGTTTTATTCAGTATACTGAAATTTCTGAAATAATAAAATACGTCTAGACTCAAACTCAAGTCTGGTTTGTGGGTTACTTTGAATAATTTCACTATTATTTTGCCTTGACACAACTGCATAAATATGAACATTTTACTAAAATAAACCAGTGAATGCAAAACTCTTACAGATTTCAAGAAAACGAAATAAAGATGACACGTATCTCCTTCCTTGTTAGCAAAGGTTTAAAATATTTTCTTTAGTTGGGTGGTCGGCCATTCTCCCGTACCGACGTTTGAAGCTTTAAAAAATTTAAGACTGATCGCCTTTTAGAAAGTAACAAAAGATTTTTGCAATTAAAAAATAAAAAGGATTTGGGGAATATTTTTAATGAAAAAGTATATTAAATTTGAAGGAAAAAAGTACTCATGTGCCTTGTTTATATTTGTAAATATGGTATGAGACCGGAACCATTATTAATGTGTTTCTAAGCGACACCTGTGTCAGTGGACGCTTTCGCGTATAGTTAGTTAAGTTAGGCATGGAAAGCATTTGACTAGACATCTCTGTGTATACACTTAAAAAAACAACAAATTTCTGAAGTTATGTCATAAATTCGAATGTTATGAAAGCCAATATTGCATATTACAAAGTTTAAAACACCTATGATATGCCTACAGGCTAAACAAAGACAGTCGGTAGTGTCATAGTTTAGAGCTTAAAACTAGGATTAGGCTTTATTTAATTATTTTACGTAGTGTAAGTATAAGCTTAAAAGTAATAGTTACTTGGTCTAACTTTCTAAACCAACTTAGTTTAACAAGATAAATTAGTTATTCTTAAACTTTTTGGCCTAAAATCAAACTAGACTAATGTCTGAAATCCTGAAGTTTCAGACAGATGAATATAATTTGAAACGCTAACGCTGGAGACTTGGGTGCTGGGTGGCCGAGTGGTCTAAACTGAGCAAATCTCAAGTTGGTTCAATTCCAGCTAGAGCAATAACACCACCAGCACCCCGGGTAGATGTGACTCGTTAACCTTGGACGGCAACTCATCTAAGAGAAGGAAACTCTGAAATCAAACCCGGAGATGGAGTCCCGAAAGGCGTATAACATTGATACAATAAAACATTCCGAAAACTCCTGCGACGTCACTGGTGCCAAGCTGTATCATCCAATGATGTTCCCTTGGGTTACCCAGCGGCGTGGAGAGAGGCGATTTGCTGTTGGGAACCAGCTTATAATCCTTCAAGTATAATAATCCCAGGCTATGTGGATTTCGTCCTAGGAAGCCCACTCCATCTCACATTGTGACGGACGGATGCCAGCAAAAAATAACGCTGGAGACGAAAATGCCTACAGCTACACACACTACTCACTACACTTCTTAGTCTTACACACACCTTGATACAGTAGTGACAAGACCAAATAAATACTTGAACAGTGAAAGGATGTAGTTTGAAGTTATAACAATTTTAAATGCCGGTACCAGTATGTATTAAAATTTTTAGCCTACATCACCAATACTAATACTGCAATAGTAATAGATCTGTTTTATTATTTTGAACATTGAATCCTTTCATAAGTTCTTTTTGTGTTTGTTAAATAGATGTGTTCAGGTTCATTTATTGTATATATTATATAATATAATATAAACAATATAGTCTATAAAGCTAACTTTATTTAAAATATCAGTAAAACAATGTTTCTATACTATATACTATATATTAAGTGCAGGTATCTTATACTTATTGATTATGTTTCTGTAAAAAATCTGAATGTGTGGGTTTCTATGATTCATCAATATAGGTATTATGTTCCATGACTCCATGTCAAATATTCCTGTGTGATAATAATATAGTTATAGGATAGGTCAGTATATCTATTTTTATTACTTTATTTCAATGACGATGTTCAATTACAATGAGATATGAGCCTAATTATAACATTAGTTTATGGTAAGATATTCTCATCAGTTTTAATTGTCTCCTGATTATGATCATACAATTTTGAAGCAAGCAAGGAGAAATCATAAACACTGAGATTTCCTATTTTTTTCCCCAGCTTTAAAAGAGTTTTTCACAATGAATGTTTAATTTGTACGAATATCCTAAAGTTTTTACGAATATCCTGAAGTTCTCACGGACTTGTTAGGACAAGTCTAATGTTCACAAACTGTTGTTAAATTTACATACGGTTGGCAACTCTAGTACTACTACAGATTAATTAATATTAAAACAATTTGATAAACCCCCCCCCCCCCCACCCACCACGAACATATCACAAGCCCATGATAACCTTAAAAAAGTACCAGTTAGTAAAAGTTGCCTTTTCACCATGAAATGAGTACCGGGTATTCTAGTTTGAGGCCTTTGAATCTTAGAAAAAAAATTATATTTTCATTTACCGGGTATATATTCTTTTTATAATAAAGCTTTTATTTTGTTATTATTTTGTTTGTTCGTTTGTAAAAAACATTTGTTACTAGGTACTTTTGACCAACTGAATGAATTTACCAATATCTGTCAGGCATTTTACTCAAAATAATAAATGTAATTTGTCTTGGTTTTCTCAATTGACACTAAGGGTGAATTTCTGACTACAGAAATGAGAAGAAAGTAACTGTATTACCGGTATTAAATTTACTTTAACTGCTCCCCCATTAACACTAATTGGAGTGGCCCATGTCAGAATAAATGTTTTCTATAACCAACTAATCACAAAATGAGGTACAAGTGTGCAACTCCCCCCCCCCCCCCCGTTAACTACTGTTTTTTTAAATAAATATTTTTCAAACAAAACTAACACTCAGTTATATATTTACTAGCATTTATTTGAAACAATAATCTTTAAAGGAAAACTAAAATACTTCAATATCTTTTTGTGGCAGTAGAAAAGTTTTGATTATGTTTACCAAAGTGCATACATTAAATAACAATGTTACATAAAAAAAATTCACAAATTACACCAACAATGTGAGAAGCAGCATCCTCAATCGATTACCATGTTTGAACATTTTTATAAATGTTACATGTAAATGTAAGAAAAAGGACCAATTATAAGACACAATTATTGATTTGAATTAAAGTAGCAGGGTGGCAGACTGGTAACTTGTTGTTCATTATTTCATTCATATTTTAATCTTATAAATGTTAAAGATTAGTATAGATGAATGGACAAATCATTCTAGGAAAAAGGTCCAAAATAACTTACAATTACATTGACTAATGTATGAAAGATGATGGGTTTTAAATTACAATAATCAATAAGGTAGGAAAAAGCTACCCATCAATATAATCAGAGTTGCTTATCAATTTAATAACTGTAGATATATTATTTGAATAGATATTTTATAAAATATTCTAGCTTAATGAAAATAAATTTGGACTATAGTAAATGTTTTTAATATAATTTATGTATTTAATTATATGTTTGTCATTAACAGAATTATAATACAGTATACTGATAATTCATTACTTTTTTTAACAAACATAAATGCTGTTTACAAATACAGTGAAATCCAATATATATGTATATTCAGATATTACTACATCTTCATATTTACTTTAAAAATGGTAATTTATATTATAATAAATAATCTAAAAATGTAATAAAGTAAGCTTTTCTTGAGATGAATTGTTAATATGATGCACACCACTATATTATAAAATAAATTTTATATTTCCTTATCAGAATAGCAAAATGACAATGTTTTGATTGGCACTTTATTAGAAATTTTAGTATCAAGGTCTTGTTTCGATGTTAGGAGTTGATGAAATAATTTCAAATATAAGGAGCATTGCATTAAATACGCTTGTAATTATTTTCTTTTAAAATATTTGCTAACCTTTGCATAGAGTAATTCTGGAATGTCAGTGAGGGCTATTCTTGTACAATAAAAAATGCAAAGTAAGAAAGCTCATAAAAACCTTAAAGTTGCAATGTAGAGTAAAGCTAAACACACAGCAAACAGCAGGAAGCCTTCATCAACAGACTCAATTGAAAGATATAGCTTTATTAAATACAGAACTAGACCGTATATATGTTTGCACTTAAACTTAAAGGGCTTCAGCCAGTGTTTGCTATTTAGTCCTTTCATTAGCAAAGCTTCACTCTACTCTGTATTTGAAGGAGAACATATTTATTCAAGGACATTTGAAAGAATGCTCCTTCATATAGCCAGAAATCCAACTGATTAACTTTTGACAAGCATAATCAACTGTCTTCTGGGAATTACAATGCAAATTAAAGACCTAACTGCTTTTGCAATCTGATTTAAGATAAGTATTATCTCCAATAATTTTCTTTGCACTAGTGAAATGAAACAAAAACTTATAGTACGGGGTACCAGCAATGACTAAGTACTATGCTAAAAGTAACAGTAATAAAAGGTGCTAAGTGTAATAAATATTCAACGCAAGACAGGAGAACACAAAAGCAGAGGACATTTACTGGTAACTGTATAATCTAAAATTATGTGGAGTTTTTTTTACTCATTTGCTTCTTTATTTTAAAATATTGAATAGCAATTTAAGTATTTTAAGCAACAATGCCAATGGTATTGGGGGATGAGTGGAGGTTGGTGGCCTAGTAGGTACATTGATGCTGGGTATGCTTACTGTATCAATACCAGTACATAAACATAGAGTAACAGACCTGTTTATTCTTACGATTTTGGCGTACCATGTATGATTTTGAGGTGTATACATTATACTTTAATAAACACTGAAAAGACCTAGTGACATCCTCAACTAGTTTAAGCCATAATTTATGTTTATTTTTATACTATTAAGATTGTATTGAAAGATTTTGTCATGATATTGTACGATTTTAAGAGTTGGAGGGTAAACAGGTCTGGAGTAATGGTTGTTCTGCATGTTGTGCACATAAAATGTTGTGTGGAGAAAATGAAACATTGGTTGGTCCTGCTATTAATAAAATGTCAATGTGCTAAGCACACAACTCTGGCAACTTAAATAACTAATCAAAAATATACTTTTTGTTATGGCATAACTATGCTTTCTTTGATGTTGTCATTTCAAAGACAGAAGACACACAATTTTTAACAGGCACCACTAACATTTAATTTAAAAAATGTTATTAATAAAAAAGCAGGGAGAATAAATAAAGTATGGACAGTTTCCTCAGGAATTTTTTTACAAAACAGGAGGGCATCAGACTTCAAATAAGGTAGCTTTGTTCTTAGGCATCTCTAAAATTGTGCAGGTATGGACATGGGCACTGGGTTGGTCTGTAGCAGTCCATAGCGCTGTTTTTGCTTCCTTTGTTCTGTCATCTGGTGATAGAAATATGTGCAATCAAAGACTGACATCTAAGGCATGTGAATGACTGGATGAGATCACAATGAAGCATCAGTGATAGGGAGATTGAAAAAAAAAATTGTGAACAAATTTGTTTAACCCTTTACAGTCCAACCCTATTCAGCCTTGTCTACTCCCAGCGCCCAAGCAATGGGACATAACTCCATTTTAAATGAAGGTTCATATCTAATTAATTTAAAGAAAATAAACTAGAAGCAAGAAAATAAAATAAAAAATACCTAAATACAAATAAATGATTTAAGCAAAAAGTTAAACCTAAAAACAGTCTCAGGGACCCTCCCACTTTGATTTGTGAAACATTCCCAGACCACTCATGATCTTGCTAATCAGTTGGACTGGAATTGATAAGTCTGTTGTCATCGATGTCTCTACTCTTACAATCTTCTTCACTTGAATCACAATTACTAGTAGTTACTAGTAGCATCATTTAAATTAATGTCTCTATCAGATTCTTTACTATCCCTGCTAGTCTCATGAAATAGTGAAGCTTCATTAGGCCTAAGTTCTTTCAAAATTGTATCCAAGGCTTGGAAAGCCATTTTTTACAGCGAAAAAAATCGCAACTTTTACAAAAAAATAGTAGAAAATGAGCCCCTAAACAAACCGCGATCAAACTAGTATCAAAATAAATTCCGAAAACAAGTCTTTCTTCCCGTAGAACTATAAATTGTAACGTGCAATGGATTTCCGCTGTGCTAAGAACAAAAGTAAACAACTTCGAAACGGGCGGTTTGGCCGCAACAGACGGTAGCCTTTAGGACAAAATCCGGGCTTTTCAGGCGCATCGGACTGTAAAGGGTAATTGGGGAAATTTTATTCAAGCTGTTTCAGATTTAAGGGAAATACCTAGACCATCATGTGGGAAAGTTACAGAAAAAGTACAAACAACAAAGGTATCAACCAAAATTAAAACAGTAGAAATATAATAGAAACACCCCTAGAATCAGGGTGTCTCATTCAATAGGTAAATAGGAGTTAAGGGATAGAAAATTAGGAAATGCAAGTAGCTTAAGAAAGTTTATTGATGTCACATGGTACAGAAGCTGGTTACCGAAATTTGGTCGAAAGAAATTTGATAGACGGTAAATTGATCCACGGAAATTTGGTCAAAACTTTTTTTCAGTTCACATGTTAACATTTTCGTCAAATTTCATTTTGAACGCATTATACTGTATAGTAAAACAAAATAATGCGTTCAAAAAGAAATTTGAAGCAAAATTTTTAAGTAAAATTAAAAAAAAGGTTCGACCAAATTTCCGTTCGATCAAATTACCGCTGATCAATTTACCGTCAACAAAATTTCTGTCAATCAAATTACCGGATACGACAGAAGCTGGGTATTTTAGTTTATTCTCCAAATAAACTCTTGCTGTAGGCTTTACTATTAGTAATACAAGAGTAATAGTATTACTATCTTCAGTTTCTCACCATTTCTATGTTACTACAGCATTATTAAATTATTACTCATGATCATTATGCTTACTGAGATGGCTGGTTCTGTTAAACTAACCTGTTCCTTCAACTCCGTTAGCTGTCCTGAAAGTTTCTGCACAAGTCTTGTGGTCAAGTCTAACTGGGCTTGAAGGCTTCTAATTTCATTCTGCTCACCTTCGCTGTCTTCAGCAGCTAATGACATGGCCCGCATGCGTGGGAACCACTCTAGGTTACGCTCCTGAATGACCAGTGTGTAATTAATACAAAAACCATTGGATATTAAAAACATTCCTCATCACCAACTTCTTATCTGTCTTATCGGGTGGTCATATCACAAGTCTCTTGTGTTTTAGTTGATAAATTACACTTATAGTTATAGCAAAGAGATCAATAATTTTTCATTAACCTAAATCTTTGAATTAAACTTCTTATTTTTGTGACAACATTATTTCAAAATTTATTTAAAAACAAAATCTTTCTCATTCTGTCAAACTTTAAAAAAATATTTTTATAAATTATGAAAATGTAAAATTCATATTTAGTTAAGTGAAGAAATTAACCTAAATAAAGACTGCCAATAACACATGAAATGTTCTCTAATTAATCAAAATGTGCAGTCCCAAGGTATAATAATTCTGAAACAGGCATTAAAAATAAGAGCAGGACGATTTTAAGTAGAAGTACAACTTTTTTGGTTTTAATTTGATAAGACAACACAAGACTGCTCATGAAGCCAGATTTATGACAGCTTACACATACAATTTATTTGATCAAAAGTTTATATTTGGAAAAGCAAGTAAAAATAAAAAAGTAGTAAATGCACCATCACAGTAGATGAAGAAACATAAAATGATGCGAGTTAACAGTAACTTGCCTTTATCATAGCATCCACGTAACTCTCTGGTCCTGTAAACTCTGTAGGATCCTTTACTTTGACCAGCACAATGAAGTAGAGGTAGTGCCACATGTTGTGCTCATGCTTGACATGGTCCTCAAATGTCACAGATCGATTGTCGAAGGCAGCTCGGTCAAGACCTGAAAATGAATCCCTAGACTTATCTTGATGGGGACCATGTGGTTTTTTTGTTTTCTCTCATCTCTCTGGCAGAGATACAAGCTAGCCATAGACAAGCAATGAGTGACTTTGTGGCATTGCTGTCATTAGCTTGCTCTCAATACTTAAGAAATATAAAAGAAAAGGTGAAGCAAAGAGTTCCATAAAATATGGAGAGGAGAGACATCACAAGTAAACTATGATAATATTTGATTTTTCTATAAAAAAACTTACACTGAGATTTTGCTTTTTAGAATCCTAAGCTATTTAGGTTTTGGTACAAAGCCAACTTAGCAGAGGATGTCATAAATTTGAAATTGAAAGAGACCTTATGATTTTTTAATAAGATTTTACCTACCGGGTACTGTATATCATATGTAAAAATGGCACGACAAAACTCACCACAAATAAAACAAGTGTTGCGTAAAATTTCATCTTTAGTTTGTTTCTCACTCCTCAAATCAGCAAAAGTGTCGATAATGACACCAAAGATGAGGTTGAGGACAATAATGATGACAATGAAGAAGAACAGCAGATCATAAACAACTCTCGCTAGAAATAAGGGCTCCTACCATGGGAAAAAAAATTGAAGTTATTTAGTACTTTTATGCCATAAAAAATCTATTTAAAATTAAAATTTGTATCCTTAGGGGTGGAGATAGCCAGGGTGAGTCTCACCTGGTGTCAAACCAGGCGAGTAATGGCGTCTTAGGAGCAAACATTCAAAACTAGGGGTGGCTGCCTCCAAGCAGATTGTGGCCTGGTGGGCTTGCTGAGGTTGCTAACTAACGCTCTTCGACGCGGGTGATATCCATGTCGGCACATCGGGCCGGAGTTGACAAAGGGAAAAGGGCAAGGCGTCTTAGGAACAGACGAAACTAGGGGTGGAGATAAAAGGGAAAATAATCCACTAAACGGAACAAGGTGTCTAGTTAAGGAGAATGGAAGAACCAACACAGCTAAGGCTAAAATAACTGGTTGAAGCTCAACCTAGTTGGTAATTTCGGGGCATGTCATCTCAAATCATCATCTAAAAAGTTTTAATGCTCTCCCTCTCCTGACTAGCTTTGTCCCTCACCCCCCTTTAGAAATATAAATACATTACCTCCAGAGACTTCATTTCCACCCATAATGAAAAATATCTCCCATCCCCTTCCTGTGAGGTATAGGCCCCACATTGGGAAACACTGTATTAATTAAGTAAACAGAATTTAGGTAAATACTTACGCTTTTACTGGGTTTGCGTAAAACATCACCAATACCACCACCATTGCGAAGACCTTGGTTGATGCTGGTGATGATGCACATTATAAGCGAGTCACATGCCCTCATTTTCTCACCCCCTTCTTCCACTTCACCATCATGATAGGTCCCTGAATACAGAACAGAGAAAGCAAAATATCTACATGAAGATATTCATCACAAAATTTGAAGTAAGAAAATCCCTAAAAATATAGGTATAAGCTTAAACTTTAAAATAATATTTATTTTGTTTTACAAATCTTTTGCATAAATAATGTACACATTCTTAAGTTCCAGGTTGGTTGTAATTATATACGCAATACCCTTTTTCCCTGACAAAGCTGTTTTGGGTTTTTACCAGGGATTTGGAGCAGAGCCCGGAACTGGAGCAGTATCAGCTGTGAGTGTCGGTAAATGATGAATTTGATGCAGAAATAGACAATGGTAATAAAAGTGATGCTGCTTTTGAATTAGTTCAACATCTTGATGTCCAAGAAGATGATAGATCTGACTGGTCTTACCAATTACATTCCATTGACATTAAAGAATTTGAAGGTCTAAGCGGTCCTAATTTAGATTTATTTTAATTAAAATTCGATCTCTTCTTAACAATTATCTGTAATTTTTTTATGACTGGATGAAAGATGATTTAAAATAAATTTTGTAAAGACAGCAAATTATGGTAAAAATGGAGTTATTTTCCTTTGCTTGGTACCAGTAATCAAGGTAATTTCTTAACGGGCACTATGATACTGAAATGGTTTCAAGATACTGAAATGGTTTCAAAGACTTTGATTTTATAGATTTAATGCTAGAAAGTAATGTAAAAATTACTGTAAATTTAGACTTAAGTAAGGAAACAGTTTTCCGTATTGCGAATTTCAAGTCAGCACGCTAAAAAAGAAACAGGCTGTTCGAGAAATCCCCATTTATGCAAAGGCAGATTGGGATAGCCTGAGAAATGCAACGACTGAGCTGAGTTCAAACATGCATACATGAGATTCAGGGTAATGCGACAACAGAAGAGCTGTGGATGAAATTCAAGACAAGAATCACTGATGCAGTGAAGAAATTCATACCACACAAGACCTCCAAACCTAAGACAAAGCAACCATGGGTTACGGCTGAAATCCAAAGGCTCATACACAGGAGAGACCACCAGTACAAATGAATGAAGAAGAATGGCTCGGTCAAACTAAAAGCCGACGCACGGAGGCTCCGAAGAACCATCCAACGCTTACTGCGCAGATCTTACTGGAGCTACCTGAACGGCATCTTCTCAGAGAAAGATACTCCGGCCAAGAACAGGCGGTTCTGGAGCTACATCAAGCATCAAAGGTCATCAAACACCGGGCTCTCCCCCCTGAGATGGGAAGGCAAGTTGACGTCTGAACCCAAAGAACAGGCGGACATACTCAATCAACAGTTCCAGTCGGTCTTTGGGGATGGTAGAGAGTACTCAGAAGAAGTTGAGTTCCTTCTGAAGACCAACATGATGAGCACAGCCTACCCCGCAATGGAAGATATCCAGATTTCAGAGAAGGGTGTGCTGGAACTCCTTAAAACCATTAACCCATACAAGGCATGTGGTCCTGACAACATCAAACCATGAGTGCTAAAAGAATTGGCCAATGAAATCGCTCCTGCAAAAACAATCCATTTCCAATCGTCGCTGTTCACAGGCAACGTTCCAACTGACTGGAGAACAGCGCATGTCACTCCAATCTACAAAAAAGGGGAGCACTACGACCCTGCCCACTAACGCCCTGTATCTCTCACTAGCGTAGTATGTAAACTATTGGAGCACATAATCGTAAGTGCGGTCATGAATCATCTGGAAAGACACAATATACTCAATGACTGTCAGCATGGCTTTCGAGTCAACAGATCGAGACCCAACTCCTTGAATTTGATGAAGAATTGACGACCAACTTTGAGAACAGCAAGCAGACTGATGTGCTTGTGCTGGAATTTTCAAAAGCATTTGACTGTGTCAACCATAGCTTGCTATTACACAGACTGCAGAGATATGTAATTCAGGGCACTACCAAAACATGGATCTCTAGCTTCCTCAGCGACCGATGCCAGGCAGGAGTGGTAGATGGCAAAACCTCCTCCTTTGTCGGTGTTAAGTCAGGGATCCCCCAGGGCTCAGTGCTAGGCCCTTGTTTGTTCTTAGCATATATCAATGATCTGCCCGAGTAGCTGACCTCTCAAGCAAGACTGTTCGCAGACGACACGGCGGTATATAGGACAATCGTCAACAGTTCTGACCAGAGCCAGCTCCAACAAGACCTCAATCAGTTAGCTGAGTGGGAGATGAGCTGGGACATGGAATTTCATCCCGTCAAGTGCCAGACCCTGACAGTCTCCAGAAGCAGATCCCCTTTAAACCACTCTTACGAATTGCATGGCCATATTCTTGAGCCAGTTTCCTCAGTTAAGTACCTAGGTGTTATCATTCAAAGAGAGGTCCGCTGAGACGAGCACATTAACAATCTGAAGATCGGCAACTCAAGCGTGAAAGAAAAAGCCTATAAAGCCTTTGTCCGGCCTCTTTTAGAGTACGCTTTTACAGTCTGGGACCTGTTTACCCAGAAAAGCATCGACAGGTTGGAGGCGGTCCAGCAACGGGCAGAACACTTTGTCCTGAACCGCTACAAAAACACCTCAAGTGTTGGTAGCATGCTGGAAACACTGGGCTGGTCGACATTGGAAGAACGACGACGACTATCCAGGCTCTCCATGTTGTACAAGATCAAAAAATGACCTGGTCCACTGCTCCGGCATCAAACAGAAACTCGTTTATCTTCCCCCAGACAGCGACGAGGCCACGACAGACAGTTCCGGCTGGTAAAAACAAGAACAAAGTACAGGAGCTCCTCATTCCTGCCTAAGACATTAGGGGAGTGGAACAAGCTTCCAAAAGCAACAGTTGAGGCGGCTACACTTGACACATTTGTGTCTATTGCCTCCTGTATTCCAACCCCCAGTTCATAACACCACTGCTGAGTAGCCCTTGCAACCAGTGTAGTATCCCTTTGAAACCCATATACAGTAACATCGCGATCCCCTCTGAAACATAAGAGCCAGAATGATCAATTCATTGATCGTGGGCCTTCAAAATAAAGAAAAGAAGACAAAGTGTATTTTCCATTGCAGAAATAAACATAGTGTCTCTCCCCAGAAATGGATTCCTTATCCAAAACTAATCTTAGATTTTAGCACATTGGAAGTAAGGACAAGCCTCCTCTAGGATCAGTGTCAAGTGGTACATAATGAGTCACATTTTAGCTTGCATTCAGTAGTTTTGGAATACTTTTCCAAATTTGCTTCTTTAACTTTTCGAAATCACTATCTTGTCTCTCAATCCTAAGGCACGAATTTAACAAACCCATGTTATTTTATCCTTTTCTTTTCATACTAGTTTTTATTTTATTTGAATATTAGAATGTTTCTGCAAGGTCAACATACCAATTTTTGTGCACAAAGTCTGTTTTGAATTAGATCACAAAATTCATTTTGCTTATTTTCCTAAACAAATACATTTCATTAAATTCATATTTACCATTTGCACAAGTTTGCATGGAACTTTTCTTTACTCATTTCAAAGTGTATTGTGTTTGAAAGTCTAAGCAATGCTTCAAACAATAACATGTGTTATTTTATGACACACCTAAACCCTGCAGGCTACACACTAATGTGTCCAAACACTAAGTTTGGAAAGTACTGCACTAAAACATTAAATTTCAAGTACACAAAAAAAGCCACCTACAGTCAGTTTGAAAGATCTGTGAAATATAGGATTCCTCTGCTTCTGTACAGTTGACACCATCTGCAGGGCAACTTGTGGAATTGACTGTTACAACATAATGAAATCACAAAACTCAAATTTAAAAACAAAAAAATATGATTAACAATTATCTGGTAAACCTACAGCTTTAAAAAAAATGTGTTTCTTAGTTGATTTTTGCTTTATTGTTTAACATTTTGCTAGTAAATTTATTGTCTGAACAAATAAAATAATACAACACTAGTTTCCTCAAGACCCTGAAGCCAGGCGAAGTACCTTGAGGTTTATCATCCAGTGCTATCCTTGCAACTGACTGTGGCTCAACTTCCATCAAAAAGTCATCTTGGAAGGAGATGAATCCAATGATAGAGAATAGATAAATAAGTATCACAGCCAAGACAGTGGTCAACAAGATGGACCTCCCATTTCTTGTTACTGACTTGATAACATTAAGTAGTGTCTCTTCTCTGTATACAACGTCCAAGAGCTGTCAAACAATAAATAAATTTATGTGAGTTATTCAATTTTAAAATTTCTGAAATTTTAAACTCCTCACAATTAGCTACAGTTACTTCAACAGGCTGATATCAATATTTTTTTTTATGGTTTGATGCAGTGGAAAGTATTGACACAGGTTACATTTTCAGATATTACTATATTTAGCAAAAAGTATATATTAACTAATCCTCATCATGTACAACCTACAATACAAACTTTATTTGTTTAAAATACATTTGCGATTGATGTAATGAATAGGTATTTACTGAACATTTTTTAAAACTATAAAATAAATAGACTAGAATTTTAAAAAATACAACTAAAAATATTGAAAACTTCAAATTAATCATTCAGACTTTATCATAAATACACTTAAAATTTTAACATTTTTACGCTTAAAATTTTAACATTAACACCTTGAATTAGTTTATATATTATAAAAAAGAGGCCAAGTTTTGGTTTTGGCGCCGAAAGCTGCCATATGATCATTTTCAGCGTAGTCGCTCGGACAAATCAGAAAAGTTCACTTTTGGTTTCTGCCAAAAGTGATTTAACCATTTGGTTCTCAACCAGAAGTCACACTCTCTCCCTGTCCATCTGTGAACCGACAATCTGATAATTATTATTGCTCGACGTCTTGCTGTTGGTATTATATATGACTAATGCTCTTCACAGCTGCATGATGACTTATTTGTCCAATATTTCCAAAAATAAAATTAAAATTAGGCTTTGGAAAATGTAAATAGTTTGAGGAAAAAACATTCTAAGGGAATGGTAACATTTCCTTTATTATTTTATCTAAAACTTAAAAAAAATAAAAAAATGAGGGAACCCTAGGCTTATTCATTTCATTGACATTCATCCTTATCATGCTCATAAATGTTGTCATTGACAATATAATTATTTACTTCAATTTTGTATAATTGGGCATTAACTAGTCTTTAAATCATAAAGTTGCACACATGTGCATGTATCAATGTTATGTTTAATAATTATTTAGTAGGTCTACTGTATTATCATTATAATCTTAGCTCAACATTCGCTCAACTTTTCTTCCATCTCAGTCAAATTTAAAATTATCCAACCAATGATAATGGCGGATTAACGAAAAATTTAAATTTCGAGCAATAAGGACATATGTTTCAATAAAATGTATTGGTTAGTGGAACAAAGAGTTCCTTCAAGGCTTAAGCCTTGACTTTTTAGTGGCCAATACCATCGATATCAAATATGTTTAGGTAGCTTTGTAATTTTATTATAATAGCAAAGGGTCCCAAGGGTATATTTTGCATGAATTTTTACCCTAAAGTCAAAGTTTTCTCTTAAAATACATTGCAAACTTTAAATTATTTTTAATGCAAATGATAAAAGCAGAGGTATTCATTTTTTTCAACGTCAGCAGAATGTGTACGCAAACGAGTTTCAAAATATCTAAAACTCTAGTTAAGCTTTTGGTTTCAGCCGAGATTCATTTTTAACTTTTGGTTTGGTTTAGGCAGACACAAAAAAAAAATTAAAAAAAAAAAAAATTCAAATTTAATTGTTCTCTCATACAAAACATCATTGAGTTAACAGGTTAAAATTGTAACTAAAAACTTACCAGAAGGCTAAAGAAAAATTCATGAAAGAAAAATCCCAGAGCACAGAGTATAAAGTAGCCAATATGATAAACCATCTCAAAGTCTGAGAGGATCTCATTGACTGGTTTTATAAGGACTCCTCTATTGCCCAACAGGCTGACCATGAATACAAATTTGTTGAGGAGCTAATGAAAAAAAAAGGAATTAGATCTAATAAAATACTCATTTTTGTAGAAGTGAAAATAATTTTTTTTTTTTATTTTTAAAAAGTTTTAAAGAAAGTTTGTATCCTTATTAGCATTACTCAGAGCAAGGTCATAAAACTTATAAAACTAATACTCAAATATATAGAAATTCCAGAAGCCAATACTTCACTGATTAAGATATTAAAAAAGTTAGCTAAAATAAAATAATTCCATATGAATATAAAATTGATGACCATAGATTTTATATACCCTCTCAATTTAAGGATAAAACCAATGGTCTTGCTACCACCTAAACCTTGTACAATTTGTAACTTACATTTATCAAACCCAATAGAAACAGTGTGATCCTGAGTCCAAATGTGCAGACAAATCTTAATATGATGGAGGCAAGCAATGTTTTAAAACCCATGGGGTGAGGAAAGAAGACAACTACAGCTGTGCAGATCATGACAGCTCCCCATAGAAGGCCATTGAATCGTACGCCAACAGAATCTAAAAGTCAAGTTTATATGTCAGATATTTTTTGCCTTAATATTATATAACTTACTAAATAGAATTTTAAAAAAAGGTGAATTTTATTAATTATGAATTATGTTAATAATTTGCAGCAAGTTAATGGGGATTTCATTTTCCATGAACACTTTATTTTAATTACCGTATGGTAATAACGGGAGAGACTGCAATTGGGTTAGCAAAAAAGGAAATTTTGTTGCATTCCTTTTTTCAGGTTTGACCATACTTTGTTTTACTCATTTCCTTTTTTAAATTACCTTAGCAGGATAAGTTTTAACGCTACAAAAATTTCAACTTACGGAAATCCAGAGTGTTATAGGGATAAAATATGGCAACCAGGAGATTGATGATAACAGCACAACTAAATGAAATGCTGTTCCACAGGCCCATATGACTGCTGAACCAAAACATTACAGGTTGCACTGAAAAAAAGACAATGAATGCGGTTATATCAATATGTTATGACAGTATTAACTTGTCAATAGAGTGAAAATTATTTATAGTTAAGTGGTTTAAAAGTTATGAGCAAGGAACCTTTACAGAAACTTTTTAAATTTTTTAAAATTAAATTTGAATAAAATATAAAACCTTAAAAACAAAGAATTAATATTGATAACTTAAATTTTAGTTTAGGAATGGAAACAAGGTGCAGGATATCCTCATTATTTTTCATATAGCATTTATCATGAAATTCAAGAGTCAAAGATTTCGTTAACATGCTGTGAAAATTCGAAGTTAAGATGAAATAGGTGTTGGCTTATAAATAAAATTGCAGAAAATTAGTGTGTGACACCAACACACCCTTAAAACTTCATCAAAAAGTTCTTATAACTGGCATTGTGTTACCATGATTTGATACTTGTCACCGGTAAGGTGCAGTTGTTTCTAAACATCAGATAGACTTACTTCTGAGTTTCTTCTGCCATTTCATCTCACTGAACATCTCATTGTGCCTACTAAAGAAGTCGGCCACTTTGCTGCCTTGCTCGTCTCTTTCTGCTCTTTTGAACACATTGAGTTTTGTCTCTTTGGTCAGGTACTCGCAGATCTCAGGAATCGGAAAAACTATTCTTTCCATAGTGCGGTCCTGGCGGACGATCTAAAGTAATATAAAGTTTTTTTCCAATCATGTATAATGAGGCATAGCATAACTTGCATGGTTTCAAACTTCAAATATATTCAAATAGCTACCAAACAGTTGATTCCGTTAATCAGATGACTTCCAAACAGTTGATTCCTATGATACCATGGTCTTAAATATTCACATGATTACCAAATGGTTGATTCCTATGATCACATAACTACCAAATAGTTGATTCCTATGATCACATGGTCTTAAATATTCACATGATTACCAAATGGTTGATTCCTATGATCACATAACTTCCAAACAGTTGATTACTATGATCACATGGTCTTAAATATTCACATGACTACCAAACAGTTGCTTCCTATACTCACATTCTTTATTTTATTAGTTCATCTGCTTACCCATTATGGTAAAATAGTGTTCACGTAATTTGTGTTTATCATAAGACAAGGTTATGTAGTCTGTATATATAAGGAAATATATATATATATATATTATCAATGCACACATATTAATTTGTTGATAAATTTATTTTTTTGTACAAAAAATATATCATAAGAACCACCTTGAAAACACTAATTTTTTTTTTTTAAATGTGATACCTCAATCTGTGCTGTGTGTTTATGATAATATTCCAGAGCTTGGTCTCCAAACAAGTCATATCCTCCAGGTCTTAACAAATCAGACAACTCCTTGTTGTGCTGTGAAAGCTGCAGGAAACAAAAATATCTTGATATATTGTTCCCTAATCAGTTATGATATCCCTTTAGCTGTGCATGTAGTAGTTAAAGCATGCCCTTTTCATATGTTACAATATTAGGACAGCTGAAAAAGTTTGATCCTCATATTTGGTTCAAGAATAAGTTTATTAATGTAATAAGCAAGCTTTAGCCCCATACTGCAAGAAAAGGGAGCTAGCTCAACTGGAAATGTTGAGAAATTCTGTGTTCATTATCAATAAATTACCTATAATACATAAATACTGAAAAATATTTCTTGAAGTTTAATTCTTTAGTTTTTAGTGTCAAGTCGCTTAAAATTTAATTTTGTAATATAGTAACTTTTGCACACTAACATTTTTGTTGCTAAATTGTTTAGTTTTATTAACTCAAATTATCATTTCTGCTAGCAACTCTGACCTGATGGGCAAGGATATAAATGTTGTGGCCCACAGCTTTAGGTGACGTGTTGTTCTCCTCTATCCCATCATCCTCATCATCTATGTCATAACGTGCAGCCTCATCTTTGCCTGGGTCCTCAGAGTGGAAGGCTTGTATGGCTATGTCCATCTGTATCCATTGAGAACATACAAGCATATAAATACACAATAATATGGTATGACGGGGAAAAAATTAATGAGATTACAAAAATGGTTACAATGGTCAATAAAAATAGTTCCTAGCATCATAAATGGGGAAGAATTATAAATATCAACTTTGTCCACATGATATGATGATCTTAAAGAACTTCCCCCATGGTGCAGGACAAGGTTTGACCAAACAGTACCACATGATAAACTAAACTGATTTGTTAAAACTCCTTAGGAGATGAAGTCAATAATTAGGCTTAGGCTTTTTATACCTTTGCATTTGTAATGCATGCATCTTTGATCTCAATAGCAAAAAAAAAAAAAAAAAAAAAAAATTTGAAAAAATTAGGCTTTTTATACCTTTGCATTTGTAAAGAATACATCTTTGATCTAAAAAACAAAAAAAAAAAAAAAAAAAAAAATTTGAAACATGCAAAATCTCTGTGCAGAAACTCCTAAAAACTATATGCAGAAAAATATAAGTGCCTTTTGATTAAACATCTAAACACTTGTTCAGATAGGTATTAAGACAATTTTATCATCACAACAACCCATTTAAAACAATGAAAAATTAACAGCTATAGCTTGAGCCACAAAATGGAGAGACAGCATATTTATACACAATAAGAAAATTACCTCCACTCATTTTAGCTTACCTCACTTAAATATTTAAATTTTAAAAAGATTAGTGACATAACTTCACTGTGTGTTTTAAACACTTGTGTCATTGCATCACAGTATCATTGCTTCACTGTGTGTTTGAAACATTTGTGTCACTGCTTCAGTGATTTGTGACATTGCTTCGTTGTGTGTTTTAAACAGTGTCATTGCTTCACTGCATAATTTAAACAATGCTATTGCTTCACTGTGTGTTTTAAACATTTGTGTCATGGCTTCACTAAGATTTTTTTTTTTACAAAAGGGGAGATTGATCAAACAAATTAACTATTATTTTTTTAAAAAATAATACAATTAAAGTATAACAACAAACCTAACCTTAACATATATGGAACAGTTGTTTAGTTTAAGTTACACACCATTAAATGAAATATCTACAGAGTTATGCACAAACTTTATGATATAATCCATAACTGTGTGACTCTTGAACTACTAGATGAGCCAGGTCTCTTGTTCAATGCGATTAATAACCAATGATGTTGACTTGTATAAACTTGAATACATTCATCATTTCTACTTGTCCCGTCCAACAATGGGGGATTGTATTATGGATCTTGTTAAAAAATAATTAATTACTGTCAACATATTTTAATCCTATCAAACAGTAGTCACGTAACAGCCAAGTCTCAGCAACTGTTTAACACCATAGTTACAACAACACCTAATTTGCCGACAAGGGAACAATGAGAGAGCTAATTCAACTGTTTCCTTCAATAACAATAATTTAAATATGTTTCTACAGTGGAATTCGTGGAAGTGATTATCTAAAACACTGGGGTTTCATCCTTGATTAAGTAGGATACTTGTTTACAATGAGTTTTAAAAATAAATTGCACATCAAACCTTGGAAAAATACTGTTCTATACATTATAATGTATTAAAGGGTTTCCTTAGATTTTACATATTATGTTGTGATAGTCAATGTAGACCTTTAAGACAACTAAACACAAAACAACAAATACGCTTTATAAATTTCTTACTTTACACCAATAAATTAATTGTTTTAGTAAGGCTTTTTGCATTCTTTCCAGTTTAGAAAAATATGCTTTGTAATATAATTTTTCTATAAAAAAAGCCTAATGAAATATAAAAGAATAGGGAATATTTAAAAAAAATAATTTTAACATATTGAAGTTGATAGGGATAGGTGAACGTGATACTTGTCACAAGATAGCCGAATAAAATAATGTGGGAAATCTGTTTAATATATTCAAATTGAAAATCCTCACACATACAATTTTTCAACAATCCTGACAAATAGATTTTCAAAAAAAAAAAAAAAAAAAAATTTTAAAAAAAAAAAAAAAAAAAAAAAAAAAAAAAAAAAAAAAAAAATTATTTTTTAAAAAAAAAAAAAAAAAAAAAAAAAAAAAAAAAAAAAAAAAAAAAAAAAAAATAATGTGGGAAATCTTTTTAATATATTCAAATTGAAAATCCTCAAAAATAAAATTTTTAAAAAATCCTGAAAAAAAGATTTTCAAAAAAAAAAAAAAAAAGAACTTTTCTAAGAAGGTAAGGTAGAGAAAAACTTTTAAAAAATAAATTATTTTATTTTATCAGGACAACATACACTTGAAAATAAAAAAAATCAGACACAAAAATAACTAGGAATAATTTTAAGAGATGAAAAAAAAATGTGAAGTCACTGCCAAGAAGAAAAGAAAATAACACCATTTTTTAAAAACACTTAAACAGCCCTAAAAAGTGGAAATTTGCTAAAAGAAAAACAATTATCAGGTTGAACATAAAACACTGCTTTGTAAAAAAAAAATTGAAAAGACATGAAATAAATGCCACGAGTGCTATATAAACCTCTTCAGGTTGGGGGATATTGTCAGCCACTATGTGACCCAGGGCTATGGCCTGCTGAAAAACCTGCTGAATTGATTCCACCTGTTAGGGTAGGCAAGGCCAAAAATGGGTTAACTAAATGGACTATTGTTTGACAAAATAAAGTGCGTATGTGCATAGCGCAGTGGTCGGCAAACTGGGGTAAATTACCCCAGATGGGGTAAAAATGAAAATCTTGGGGGCATCTAGGGCTCAATATAAAATTATATTTAAAGCAGGTCTTTTAAAAGAAATATTTTTTTCCTGTCAATACTGCATCTGGCTTGTGTAATAGCCAAACACACACAATAACTTGTTGTTTCTAGTGACTCATCTTGTATATGTAATTTTTTCCTCATTGCCTATTTTATCTTAGTTTGATGTGTGTGAATCTGAATTGATTGAGCTCTGTCAAATTTACTAATTTGCATTTGGTGTCATCCTCCTGTGAGGTGAACATTTTTTCAAAGAAATCCTTTTATTCCATATGAAGGATTTTATTAAATTTTTTCATCAAATTTATTTTGTACTTTAATATTTATAATTGTATTTTCCATGCTAATATATTTGATAAACCATTTTGAATTGAAATAGTCTATGATTTTCTTCCATTTTAATCGGGGGGGGTGTAACGTTGGTGTAAAAAAAATTATTTTGGTTAATGGCTCAAACAGTTCGCCGACCCCTGGCATATCGTGAGATAACAAATTGGCTAAGTCAATTATAAAAAAGAGCTTTAAAAATTAATATTTCAACAATGTGAAAAGAAATTGAAAAATAAAAAAAAAGAGCCATGGATGGGATGTCTTGAATATATAAATAATTGAATTAGAACACAATGAAAATTTAAAACCTATCCAAAGATTATTTTCAGGCTATGTAACAGAAAACAATGGACTCACCAATTGCTTGGTTCTCATGTTGCTCAGAATCCTTTCAGCATTTTCACTGTCATGACGGCTCTCCATGATGGCTAGCAGTAACTTAGAGGCGTTGTTCTGATTGGGAGTAGATATGGGTAATTCAAAGGATTATCTAAAATGCACCTTTCTTAGGAGGTGGATGTGGTAGATATAAATCTGAATGAATTTTAATCACAGAAAAAGAAAGAAAAAACAACAGAAAACTAAACTGCATTAACAAATTTTTAACTATTGATCTGGGATTATAAAGGTGTAAATGAGAAAATTTCTAAATGACGATGGTAATAATATAAGGCAGCATTAGCTTCACACAATAAAATTAAATCATATGCCCTTTAATTCAGTAAAACTTTATGTTTAAAGAGTTAAGGAATATTATGAAATGAATTTGGTGATAAGTTCAATTAGATCCTAACAATAAATTCTTTACTTCAATTAAACTCATCTTATGATAAGACTTTAAACTAAAATAATTTACTGGCACTCATTAACATATGTGACATGCATAGAAAATTGTTAATACTGCATTCCATGAGCAGATTCTGTACTGACCTTCAGTTCCAAGACTAAATCAATACGATTCTTGCCCAGAGACTTTATTTCAATCAAGAGCAGGGCCACAATGATGTCAATGCCATTGCTCTCATGCATGGCTATGGCATTCTAAAAATAAGCAAATAATAAAATGCAGTTTTAAATCACACAGTAAAAATAAATAATTACATATTAATCCTTAAGGAGCATGTACTTCTTCTACTTTCCACTTAACAGAGTCAATACACAGATGGCATGGTCTTCCTCTGGCCCTGAAACCAGAATGTCTGCTATTATATGGTTGCAATGCAGGTTGGCTGACTTGCATTTTGACCGTGCGGCAAAACCAATTAATTTGTTGTTGGGCCATACACTATCTGATTGAGATGGAACAAACCATTTGCCTTATTTCCTGGTTTCAAATGCAGATAGATTTCATTGTGTGTGTATCTATAGTGATTAGTAAAAATTAATCCATTTTATCTTTCCTTAGTGAACAGATCAGATGCTCCAGTCAATGATGATCCAAGGAATGACTTTGAGCACATACTCAAATCACAATTATTTAAAACATTCAGAAATTGTTTTAAACACATTTTCAATGGGTGTGTTACCTGGTTCTCATGACATGGTCCCTGGCAGTATTCTGTGAGTGTGGTCAGAGCCTGGTTGATGAGGTCCACATTGTGTTCATTGATGTACAGGCCCAGAAGTCCCAGGCCACCAGTGGTACTGCCACAGATGCAGTCTAGGAACTGGAGGGTTTCACAGACCAGGTTTTGGGGACTTTTACAGTTGGGCTGAGTTCTTAAGTAGTTCTAAAAGGAACAAAAATTGAATAAATAAGAAATAAAACTCATACAATAAATAAATTAGATATATATTACAAAAAGATGAATATAAGACTATGATATAACTGGAATGAGTGACAAAAATTCAAGTACTTAGAAATAATACATGAAAAAGTCAATGCATCAAATATCCTCTTATACTTCATCCAGGGGAAATTGAATGACCTATAATGTACCATTTTAAAAAACAAACAAAATTTGAAAAAGACCCAATCTAACCATACAGATGCAATCAATATTAAATCTAAGACCAAGGTACACAATATCTTCTCAATCAAGCTCAGACTGGCAAAGAGCTTACCTGTAAATCTCTGTTGTGATTCTCACAGAGCAGCTGCAAAAACCTGAGAATTGGTTTCATGATGGCTATTTGCTGGGACATTTTCTTGTCATCTGACCCTTCATGTTTAGGACGCTCACTTTCTTCAGTAGATTGCTGTGGGTGGCCACGATTCTGGACAATGAAATTATCTTGTATAATTAAGACCGGTAAAGACATAAGATCATTGTAAATGTTTCCTTCTTGTTAACTAGAGTATGTCAACAGTAACTATATTTTATATCAAATTTTTTCAAAAATTCTGATTCTTCACATGTTCAACATTATATCCCATTTCCTGAAAAAGCTAAGATTTTGGATAAGTGTAACCTCAGTATATACGTATAAAAACAAAACTAAAATTACAATCTCAGATTTATTATTTCATGATCAAAAACCATACAAGAGGGAGGGTGGGAAAAATAGTTAGGATGCCACTTTTTTTATAGGATTGTATTAAAATGTGATAAATGCACTAGCACTAGGCCATAGTATGTGCTTTTGATGAATTACATTTTGTATTTCACCAATACAGAGACTGAGCAAGTCATGCTTGCCCTAATGAAAAAATTCATGCTCCCCAAACCACAAGTTACATTTAAAGTTCTGGTAAGTTCAAAGTAAATGATCTTGCCTCTCCTCCTTCCTCATGCTCTCCCTGAGTTCCTTCCCCTCCAGTCCTACCATGGACCTGGCGTACGTGGCCAAAAGCTTTGTTCGTCTGGCTGGCAGCATCATCAAACTCATTCCTTAGATCATCATTGACTGGAGCATCTGATCTGTGCACTAAGGAAATATAAAATGGATGAAGGCTTAGTAATCCCTATAGTTAGACACAATGAATCTATCAGATTACAAAAAAGCATTTACACTGATTTTTGAACAGATTGGATTTGGATAATTTCTGTAAAGATGCTTAAAAGAGGTGCTACCTTTATTATACTAAATATAAATAGTTTCTCATGCAAAAAGCATTTAACGGCAACTTAATAGCATTTTGTCCCTAAATGTTGAAAATGGTGGATAATGCTATGGAATCTTCTAAATATTAAACATTCAAAAGTTAAAAATACACCAGGGGTGGGCAAACTATTTGTGCAGAGGGCCACATTGGCAAATGTAAAACTATGGGGGAGCCACATATATCTTATGTCCAATTTTTACATGTTGAAAAATATTTCTCTATATTAAAATCGCATTTTCGCATTACATGACTAAAGTCAAGGACTGTCTAAAAAAAATATTAGAAAATTAGAAAGAAATTTGATCATAACGGTACATGAAATTCTGTAAAATTCAACAAAATAACTTAAAAACAAGGTAATTTTTTTATTTCTAAATGCCTTCGAGGGCTGCATAATATATTAGTTGCCAGGCGGCATGGACGTGGGCCATAGTTTGCACACCCCTGAAATACAGTTGTTAAACAAGTTTAATTTTTTAAAAATCTGAACACTTGATCAGCAGCAGACTCTTTTTAAAACAAGATTTTACAAATTAAATTGTTCACATTATGTCTCAATGCTAACTTGTAACACCACCCATAAAATTTCATAAAAGTGTCCATATCATCTTGATGTTAACTCAATTTTGACCTTTCTATAAAAATATAGTTAAACAAAAATTATAATGCATTTAAATTATAAAACTTCACAAAATTTAAATTAACACTTCATATTGGCCTAAGTTCTTGAAGTTATTAAATATTGTGAAACCATGGTGACTATGAGCAATAATATTTGTCGGTGATATTGCATATTGTATAAAGCCTATACGTGGCCTGTAGTATTCTAAATGGCTAAATATAAATCGTGCATAAAATAACGCAAGTGAGTAGATATATCATTTAGCCAAAGTAAATAAAGTGAACAAAATTGCTTGAAATGTATGCTTGATATAATAGGGTGTTGATTAAAAAATGCAACAATTTTATTATATTAGACTATGATTTTAAATTTTGTTTTATTTAAAAGACTTAACATGAAATGAGAAGACAATTTTTTAATTTTTTTTTTTATCAACCTGAAAAGTAAACATGAAAACTCTTAGACATTCTCTCCTTGGCTCTGTTGAAAAGTAAATACAGAAAAACAGACAATGTCTAAAGACAATGATTGAAATAAAAACAGTGGGCTAAACGAATTTGCTGTCTCTTTTCCTATCATGAATATGATCATTATCTTTACTCTATTATCTCTTTAGTCAAACCCAAATTAGAACCAGATTTATAGATTTATTTTTAATCAGCTTAAAATGGCCATCTTTGAGTTTCATGGACTAAAGAAGAGTTAAGGAAAATTACATCAAGCTATACTAATATTGTTCAATTGATGTCATACATAATAAGCAGACCGTTCATAACAATCAATAAGAAATTTTTTTGAGGTTGTTAAAAATTTCAAGAACTAGTTTGGGTAAATTTGGTGATCTTATTTTTTCAAAAAAAAGCTGGAAAAAAAAAAAGCTAAATCATAAAAATGTAAAAGCACTTATGATTTTTAGCTAACTCATGTTTTCTTTATGTTAATAAGCATTTGTATAGCTATGGTAAACAACAATGTTATTTTTAACAAAGTTAGAGGCATTTAAAAGAATAGAGGAAAAAATGTTAAAAATGAGTACTTTATTACGGTGCCTAACTAAACTAATGATGGCATGTTGCTGCCTATTTAACTGAGTAATAATGTTAATCGATAATGTTTTGTTTCCCAAATAAATATTAAGATATAAAACTTAATTTACTGCACCCTTTCTGTACATTATACTAAAGCTTTAAGTTACATAATTAGAGCAAATGTCAGCCAAGAGTAGATTTAGGCAGTTCGTTTTGAGTAACATTGTAAATATTTGAGTTTTGTTCCCTTTGTCACATGTATGTCAAAAAACATTGAAATTGTAACCGTGCTTCTTAAACAGCATAAAATAAGAACTAGAGCTTCTCATTATTAATGACCTGGTAATTGTGTAGATTATATGTAATTCATTCTTTTTTAATTCTTCATCGGCTTACCCAAAGCAAGTACGTTAGCTTAGAACCATGCTTTTGTCACCCCCTTAAATAGTTTTACTTGTACCAACTCTACGTATATCAAAAAGATATCCCCTCCACATCGCCCCCACTTCCACTTTTAAAAATGTTTCTGGATTGTTAGATGTATTTGGATCATGAGATGAAGATTTTATTGCAAATGGTGACCAATATTTTGTACCCAGAGTGATTTGTCCCAATATTTGGGTCTGGTAAGTTAAATCACACAAAGCCAGCTAAATGATCTACAAAACCTAATGGCAAGCAATACGTCTAATTGATAGACTCATGAAAAGAAGAACAACTGTGTACTACAATGATGAAACAAGCTGAAGATTTAGCATGAGCCGGCCGCTTACCTTCTTGGATATCCCGAAACTGGGACGGTAAATTGTCTAAAGATGTTATGGAATCTGGGGATAACCCGGCACGTTGGTTTTTTCTTCATTTAAATTTTTTTTATAGTGAACATTTATTTGATTGATATAGAGTGAACTTTTATTGAAAGTTTTTAAGGTAAAAAAACTGAAATTAGTATGAGTAAAAAGTTAGATACACACACACAAAAGATGATAATTAATATTTTGTGCAAGCCATCATTGGTTTTCAGTGGGAATTCATTCAGTTGGTGAGCTACAGGGTAAAACCCACCCAAGAGCTGAACTTTAGGACAAAAATACAGATTCTAAGAAAATCTAGTAGCATAAAGATAAAAATGCTTTTCAATGAAATAAAACTTATTTTATAAAGCTCTCAAATTTTTTTTATGCATCATGCCACACATTTTCTTTGTATGCAAAATTAAACATCAAAATAATATTGATTGCAAGATAATGAAACGTAACATAATTTCAAAATGTGTCAAAAATATTTAAACAAAATGGGATCCCACCCCAAACCACAACAATTCAATTACTAGGTACTAAATGAACCAAACTTTTTTTTCTCTTTTGAGTGCAACAGCTCTCTTATAATAGAAATGACTAAACACACTGCTATATATAATTTAAAAATGGCTTCAAGTTAGATCCTCAATAATAAGAGCATATTTTTAAAAATTAGATGCACTTAAGTTTTTATTAATCCAGAATGTTGCAGAACTGCTGTCTTATATTTCTCTTTTATTAAAACATTGTCAGAATAGATTATGGTTTAAGAATAGATTATGGTTTAAGACTACATTTTATAAAGCCCGTCTCTATTTTTGAAGGTGGGTAATTTTTAAAAATTATTCTTTTACAAATGAATGGAAATAATACCTGAAATGTATTTTTTTCAACATGTTACATTAGAGGGTGTCTCCATTCTGAGAGTTATTATATTAGGTGCTTTGGTTGAGTTTTTATCATGCATGCCAAAAATGGTTAGAAAAATCAGTACCATATATAAAGCACACACTTCTCTTACATATTTTCCTTCCCTGCATGCATAGCTAAACAGTCAAATAGCCAAAAAATGCCGCTCCCCAACTCAAATAAAAAATTATTTTGCCTAATTTGATATTTTAAATTTTTAACAAAAATATCACAATTAACTTATTAATTGGCAAGAATAAATGTCAATAATTACAATGCTCAATATGACACACCAAGGAAGCACAACAAAATTCTACTGTTTACAATGTAAGATCAAACATCAAACCAGAAAAAGTTGCAACAAACTTATATTGATTTGCTAGGTCTTACCTCTTTTCTTCTTCTCCTCATCTCTGTGTGGCCGGTGCTCTGTGTCAGATGTGTTGACAGTGACAGTGTTGCGTATCTCAGCCTGAGCATCTCTTATACGATCAAAGAACACTTTGAAGAAGATGTCAGCATCCTTATCAGTGGTTAATCTCTGGAAAATGGATTTCTGAGAACAGAACAAAGTACTGGATTTTAAAAATGAAATGATTTTCTCTATGAGGCTTTAAGACTTGACAACTTATAATCTGAGGAATGGTTCATGGGCACTTTAGTACCTATCATTAAGGATTGTCTCATTCTTAAGTTTTTAAATATAGCTGGTTGGTCAGTCATTGATTGCATGTGTTCTGTAACATAAAGCCAAACTGTTAAACAATAAAGCTGGGAGGCTGAAATAATTACATGGAGCTAAAAATGAATATTCTAATGGTGCTTTTTCTGTAACGTTCAGTCTATGATCTCTTAGCTATTTAAAAAAAAAATTTGTTTATCACATAATGTATACAGCAAACAACATAAAAATTAAATAATAAATTATAAAAAATGAACAGGAAGACATAGTTCTCATAACTCCCTTCTGAATTGGAACCTGACTTCATTACCAAAGTGGATTAAATCGGCTTAATTCAGGTTTAGGTCTCATTGGCCTTAGTCCCCCCAAATTTTTTTGTTCCACGCCTTCTTCTTACCGCTTCTACCATGGAGGTGTTGCGGTGGTGCATAGTTGACGGATTGCCCCACGGTGTGACTTAATTTTTTTTTAAATTTATAAAGGAGAAGCAATACAATTTTTAGTTTGATCTTATATTTTCCACTTTAACTGCATTGTAAAGGTTTTATCCAAAGTACCTGAATCTTGCTATTTCCACCTTCAAGCAATGCTATTCCCAGCTCCACTGTCTCAAGAAATACTTTATTGCTGGTGTTTTTAATGATGAGGTCAATCACAAGATTGGAGGCTCCTTTGTCATCAAGGAAACACTGTTGATTTAAATATTGTCAAAATTATATATCTTTTATTTAGCATTTGTCCGTAAAATTTGTAAAAATGTAAGTATCAAGTAACAAGAATACCATACTTATTTTAGTTATTTCAAATGTTGAAATAGACAGCTTTTACAAACAAAAATTATTTTAAAAAAGTCATTCCTTGCAAGTTCTGAAATCACAATGAACAGCCAATATTCGAAATTTCAGCACAACTAATCAGTATGATTACCAGATGTTCAATCAGCTTGTATGGAGCTAGTGCTAAATATTTATATTATCTGGTTAAATTTAAACCTCCAAACACGACCCTGTCACGTAAAAAAGCTAATGTTACGAAAGTAAAACCACAATCAGAAAAACGGACTGATATTTATGGATTTCGACTCATGCCTGACCACACACATAACATTTGGATAGCGACTTGGAATGTACTCAGTTTATACAGAGCAGGTGCCTTGGCCCGCCTCAGTGAGGAATTACTTAAGATATAGAATCGTGATTGCGGCACTACAGGAGATTAGATGGAAAGACTCAGATATCCTAAATACAAAGGAATATACAATATTCTACAGTGGAAACAACACAAATACCTTAGGAACAGGGTTTGCAGTCAAAAGAGAGAAAGTAAATGCAGTCACTGGGTTTAAACAAGTGAGTGAAAGATTATGCTCCATAAGGATTAGAGGAAAAATGTTTAACATCACGTTAATCTGCACTCATGCTCCAACAAAAGATGCAGATGAAAGCATGAAGGAAACTTTCTACGAAACACTGGAAAGAGTTTTGATGAGGCTCCACAACATGATATCAAAATAGTCCTTAGCGATCTCAATGCGAAAATTGGGAAAGACCTAGTCTACAGACCAACAATCGGAAAGGAAAGTATGCATGATGAGAGCAATGACAACGGGACACGTCTTATAGACTTCGCTTCTGGGAAAAGGAATGATAATCAGTAGCACAGTATTCCAACATAAACAAATACATAAAGGGACATGAATATCTCCAGATGGATTTACCCGTAATCAAATAGACCACGTACTCATCGACCGGAGGCATGGCTCGGACATATCAGATGTGAAAAGTTGTAGAGGGGCGGACATAGACTCAGACCACATGCTTGTTAGAATCAAATATAAGCAAAGAATTTGTAACATCCACAATAAACAAAATAAAAGAGAAAAACAGTACAATAGTCAGAAACTGAGTAGGGACCCAAAAATTACTGAGGAATATCAACAGAAGATTGAAACTCTACTAGAATTATCCAAAAGAGAATCAGCCAGCAACGTTGATATAAACCAGCAATGGGAAAAGATGAAGCAAATAGTCACAAGTGTAACAGAGGAAACGATTGGATTTAAACCAGCAGTGAAAAGAACAGGATGGTATGACGCAGAATGCAAAGAACTTATAGAACAAAGAAACAAAGCTCGGCTAATGATGCTGCAAAGGGAAACAAGAAGAACACGACAATTATATAATGAAGCAAGAAGGGTGGCCAGCAAAATTTGCAGAAAGAAAAAACGTGTTTGGGAAAAATAAAAAATAGTAGAGATAGAAGAGTTGGCAAAAGAAAGAGATGTGAGGGGAATGTACCTGAAGATAAAGCAGGAAAAGAATGGCTTTCAAGCAAGATCCCACATGTGTGAAAGCATGGATGGAGAATTGATCACAGAGAGCAGTAGAGTACTAGAGAGATGGGCACAACACTTTGAAGGCTTACTGAATGCCTCAGGTGGAGGAACCAATGAGGATTACGCCCCGCCACAAGGAGGACCGGACCCACTGGTCAACCAACCAACTTTAAATGAAATAAAAGATGTAATCTCCACCATGAAAAATAACAAAGCCCCAGGAATAGACCTTATCCCTGCAGAACTCATAAAGCTAGGTGGTAGCGAACTGCATAGGCAAATACACAAACTTATAACCAGAATTTGGCAGGAGGAAGAAATGCCAACTGAATGGGACACGGCACTCATAATCCCAATCCACAAAAAGGGATCTAAGTTGATATGCTCAAACTATAGAGGTATCTCTCTTCTTAATGTAATGTACAAAATCCTCACAAAACTTATAGCGAGAAAATTGGAAAAGTATAGTGAACAGATCCTAGGGGACTATCAATGTGGATTCTGGCAGAATAGGTCAACCCCGGATCATATTTTTTCTATAAGATGTCTCCTGGAGAAATGCTAGGAATATAACATCGACATACACCAACTATATGTGGATTACAAAACAGCATACGATAGCGTAAACAGGAATCACTTTTATACAATACTTTACAAGAACTTGGAGTCCCTAACAAGCTTACTCGGCTCATACACATGACAATGGCCAACTCCAAAAGCAGAATCAAGGTTCAGGGAGAATATTCTAGGGAGTTCATAGTTAATTTGGGCCTCAGACAAGGAGACTCACTATCATGTATCCTGTTTAACATCACGCTAGAAAAAGTTATTAGAAGCATTCACATTAGCACCAGTGGAACCATTACAAACTATTTCCAGAGAGATACTACAGAGCAACGACCATCAGGAACCTTATATAGCCAACCATTGAAGTACCTGGCATATGCAGATGATATAGCACTACTGGGTAGAAACCGTAATGACATAATTAAAGCATTCAGGGAACTTGAAAATGCCTCATTCAAGGCTGGCCTTGACATAAATTAACCAAAGACAAAATATATGATAATGTCAAGAAACTCCCATGCTGATAATAACATCAATATAAACAACCACAAATTTGAGAGAGTGGCCACATTCAAATATCTAGGGGCAACTATAAATGAGCACAATGAGATAATGTCAGAGGTGAAAGAAAGGATAACAGCAGGCAACCATTCCTATTTCAGTCAACAAAAGCTACTGGGAAAAAAAACCTATCAAGGGGAACAAAGAAGACAATATACACCACCATCATAAGACCTGTAGTAACGTACGCTAGTGAGACCTGAACCCTCACCAGAAAAGCAGAGAACCTGATCAACACATGGGAGAGGAAAATATACGGACCAGTGATAGAAAATGATATCTGGAGAATACGTACAAACCAAGAACTTTACTATTTGTACAAAGAACCACCCATAGTCACAATGATAAAAAAAGGCAGAATATGATGGGCAGGTCATGTTGAAAGGATTCCGGAATGCAGAGCAGCCAAAATTATATACAGGCAGAAGCCTAGGGGCAGACAACTCATCGGTCGCCCAATGATGAGGCGAATTGATGATGTGGACACAGATTTACACCAGCTGGGGGTTCGAGCATGGAGACGGAAAGCCATGGATCGCTCCGAATGGAAGGATGTGGTGGAGCAGGCCAGGGCCCTACCTGGGCTGTAGTGCCATTGATGATGATGGTTAAATTTAAACCTAGTTGTAGCCGATATGAATATTAGCCTCCCAACTCTCATTTCACATGTGCGATTGTTGAACAGAGAGAAAGAACACAGTGGTTACATACCTGAACATCATGCAGAGACAGGTTATTGGCTTGACTGATCATTGTAGAGCCTGGGCCAGTGTTAGCTCCAGTTGCCTGGCTCTCTCGTCGGTTGCGAGGCTGAGTCCTATCATAGTAACGCATTAGCAAACTCTGACGCAATGCTTCGCACTGTTATGGTGGAAATGGTAAAACAGAAGAAAAAATTATACTTTCTAGCTATCCATGACACGACTTATGAATCATTACTGTCATATAAGTTGTGCCTCAGCAAAAACACGACTGACATAAACAAATTGATACATGACAGGGATGAATCATAATGTACCTCTCTAATGTGTAATGTTTTATTCAAAGTGATTATTATTTTAAATCATTTTTAGCCCAACACTGTTCCAACAATCAATATAAAATTAGTTATTATGATCATTATGGGAGACAATTTTAAAAGCTATAAATAAATGTTTAGTTGATTTATAAAAAAGTCTTTTAACTTTCAGGACATTATAGAAAGAAAAGAAAAAGAAAGAAAAAAAAGAGAAATTAAGTATGGGGTCTAATTTTTAAAGAACAGTAACCAGATTTATTGTATAAAAATGTCAAACCCTTGAAGCATGCTTACTTAGAATGACACTTCAACTTTAATAATTACATTTTAGTTTCAATTTAAAAAAAAAAATATATATCTATCTTCAATAATGGGGTGAGGGGGTTACCTGTAAATTGAACTGACATGTATTAACCTCAGTACCTCAGTACCTTAAGCTATTAAGCTAGCCTACCAATCTACCTGTACACAGTTTCTGAATATACAATAACAAATTTAGTTATATTATTAAAACTTAATCACCATTCCAGAAAATTTAAAGCATTCTCTCTAAATAAAATCTATTCAGATTAAGTATATCCCAAAATTATAAATTAAAAATGATGCTACAGTCACAGAGATGACACATTACAACAAACACAATGAGGTACAGACACAGACCGTTTGGAAATGGAATTATCTTTCTTCAGTGGTTTCAATGATAACAGAAGTTTAAAGTTGGAGAAAATAACTGAACACACTGTACTAAAATGAAGCCTTTAAGGTCAACGCACCTTTTTGTAACTTTATGGAGTGACAAACACAGGTGTGCTTTTCATGTTATTGCTATTTACTATTCACATTTGAAAATGCTAATCCGGATCATAGTCTTGCCAATAATATACACCATTAAAAGCTATAAAAATATTATTGCAAATTTATTAATGCAAAAAGTCAGTTATCATGTTAAATTAAATTACTGTAGTTAAAAGTAATCTGTAGGAGCCTTCAAACTTATTAACTTAATTCTATCAAATTCATCACCCTCCCTCTCATTGAGGTGTCATTTTTTTTTAATGTACTCAAAATTATAATTGCATTTAGTAAAATTTATTCTATTTTGTTAATTACGTTACATGCAGCTTTCATCTGTAGCTTTCATCTGTGATAACAAAGTTTATTTTATTTTTAATAAATGATCCTTCATGTACACAGTAAAATACATGGCAATTATATGATCTTTAGATTAATAAGCATCTGTTGAATTGATCAAATATTTTAAGCATGACATCAGTGAAGCAGGTGATTTAAGGTAGTTCTGACAACCAAATAAACATTTCAAGTATTAACAGGCAAAAATTGATAATGTCATCAAATCTGATATGACTCATTTGGAGCAGTTAATTTAAAATATTGATATGTTGGCTTGTTTAACACTGAAAATAATAAGGTACAATGACAAATAAAAATGTCTATAACGTAAAATTAGTCTAAAATAAATGTACCGACAAGATGCAAGATAGATTAGTGAAAAAGCCAACATAAATGGTAAATTCATCACATGTTCAAATATAAATAATGCTTCTTTTTATAATCATCCATGCTTAGTGATAATTGAGTATCCTGATACTGTCTCTTAAAAAAATATATATATGACAATTAAAAAATGTACATACTATTTTCCATTTATATTGAGGGACAATGAGTATACGATATAAGTACTGGCTCCTATTGTTTCAAAATGTTTAGTTTTTTTTTAAAAATTATCATTGAAGCAAGTTATAGAGAAAATATCACAAAATATGTATGTTTTTTTTAGTATTTAGGAGTCTATTATTACTTTTATTTCTTGGCTAAAGTTATATATTTTAGAACAATTCACTCCATTCCTTTATTTTTCCTCATTCTCAGGAGTAAGACCAATCTCAGTGAACAACCCTAAAAAAAACTGAAAGTAACTTAAGATAACACAACTCAACTGTATTAAATCATAACATAAAAAAAAAAACAATTGCACTATTGTTTACTAAAAATAAGAAAATAAAAAAAAACAACATCAAAAATTTTAAAATTATATATTTTAGAACAATTCACTCCATTCTTTTATTTTTACTCATTCTCAGGAGTAAAACAAATCTCAGTGAACAACCCTAAAAAAAACTGAAAGTAACTTAAGATAAAACAACTCAACTGTATTAAATCATAACATAAAAAAAAAAACAATTGCACTATTGTTTACTAAAAATAGGAAGATAAAAAAAATCAACCTCAAAAATTGTAAAGGGCCATTGTAAATCGGGTGGGATGTTCAAAATAAGAAACTACAATCATAAGAGACAAAGGTGGCACAAAATACAAATGTTCATTAACCATATAGGGGAGCAATGCTTTTTACCAAAATTGTAAATTTAAAAATATAAGTATTTAACATCAATACAAGTGAAAATAAAATATATTTCTTTATATAAGCCCAAAAACAACAGATTATTAATACAAGTATGAAACCCGGTAATGTTTTATATTAAGTCTTTAAAAGGAGATGTGCCACCTGAGCAATTCTTTTCAAAAGCAGACAACAGATGTAGATGACAGTAAAATGGAAGCCTTACCCGTCTGTGATCTTCTAAATCTTTTTTTGTCAGTGTTTTTACATCCACCTTATGATTGCCGATGAGAAAGGCAAGTATGGGTTAGTGCTATGAGGGTGTCACATAGAAGCGCGCAGAGAAGCAATCATTGATAGAGGCTTACACTCTCATTGATAATTGAGTTATTTGTATCAATATGCATTTAATATATTGCCCCAAACCAAGTAAATTAAGGCAGTTGCTTTAAAATTTCATGCTTTGAATATCTAAATTTTTCCAAAATTGGTGAATATCACTCTTGGTGCTTGAATTTTTTTAAAACAAAGAAAACTTAATTGCTTCATATGAATGATCTCTTCCTCGATGAAATGATCTGCTAATAATCCTTGTACATGTTATTTCATAAAAGCATTTATAATTGAGTTGGAAATTATATTATGCTTAGCCAATTCAGAAAAGGGGATAGGCAAGGAGAAGCAATGACTAATATATGAAGAAATATAATAAAATACATAAATCTGAAAAAGTGATAAAGGCAATCATGATTGTGTAGAGGTTGAAGAGTTGTGTTGGGGGGAGGAAGGTCGCAATGTGATAATGAAGTGCACAAAGTTTGGGTCTACTGTGCAAAGCTAAAGCTCCATCTGGCATTCAGGTAGAGAAATGGGGAAGCAGCCTCCATTCTTTGTGATGCTCAGCTCCTTTAACACTATGCTGTGAAAATTTTACTTTTTTTTATATTAAAAATTTAAAAAGAGGATTTTTCCACAATAAAAGATACTTGGATATAAATCTTTACAACAAAAAAAAAATCATTCACCTTCTCTGATCTACTTTCATTGGCAGACATCATGTCTTTTAATGTCTGCAACACCTTAATACACAGTTTCTCCTCTTTCTCTTCAAGCAGACACTCTGTATGGCGAATCAACCTGCAGAACAAGAAATCCTGTGCATGTTTTTTAATGATCATATGAGATCTAAACAATTTCACACTCATAAATCTTGATTTTCACAAATAAATTTAAACAATGTCCTAGGAGCTGAATATTTGTTCTAAAAAGAAACCTTAATTGTATACATTTATATTTATTTTATTATGATTTAATTCACATTGTGAAAGATTGTGACAGAAGAATGTTACTTTGTATTGATCTCACTTTAATTAAGCTTAGATCATGTCTATTTATTTACTTGACCATATGGCAGTCCAAAAATCATATAATTATTAATGAAAAGAGGAAAATTCCGTACTAACCATTTAAGTTGGGTTCATATTACTTACCTTGTTACCCTTCAACTAACTCAGGACTTAAGACTATAGACAAGTATTGCTGTCCTCCAAAAAAACAAAATTATTAGCATTCTTTGACACCCTTACCTTGCTATAAATCCACCGCTCTCACACTTCTCCCTAGCCTCTGTTGATGGTGGAAAAAGCAATTCTGGCCGGTGCAAAACATCAACCAAGACGGACATCTCTGCCTGGACAAGGGGCTTTAGGTGGTTGTTTAATGTTGCCACTATTTCCTGAAGGTTACAACGAGAATCACATGTATTGGATTATAACATTTCTAACTATTCTAGAGCAGAATAAAAGGTTAATGAATATGTTTGCTACTTAAGTGCTGACAATTCCAATTAAACAATATTGAATTTGTAAAAAATTACATTTTTTATAAAATAATTCTTGTCAAGTATTTGTATGCCTTTCTTAAATGATATACCAGAGCAGAGAAGAGGTGATTAGTAACAATTAAAGAACCTGTAGGCCTTCAATTATGTTCCTGTAATCTCGTGAAGCATGTGCCTGAGATTCCCGACGGTTTTGTCTGACATTCAACCACCTGGCTGATGATTTTTGGACAATGTTCGCCCTTTCAAACAATGCATTCACTTGACTGTCCAGATCTACTGGGATAGCAATGCTTCTGCTCTTGGCTGAAAAAATATTTAAACGATATGCATTCCTTAATAAAATGTCATTGATATTATCTGTAATACATGCACAACTTGTTTGTCATGTTTTCTAAATTATCTCTATAACAAGTATCTTTATTATCTATATAAAATTAATCTTTGTCTACAGGATCTATTTCAGAGGCATTAAATTATTTTGCTTTTCTTGTTCAGGGAATTTTGAGTGTCTGTATGGCTACTGCAATATTTTAAAGTAAGTGTGGTAAATTGTTAATGTCACTTTGGTAAGTCTAAAAAGAAACCAATCAATACATCAAGTTCGAAAAACTAATTCTATTTTCATGACTTTTTAACAACATAAATGTGATGTTACCTGTGTCTGATAGGGTCCTAATACATGCCTCGACATGAAACCTCTGTGAGCCATCTAGCCACTCACAACGAATTAGTCGAAATGCCCCTTGTAGAAGCCTGACAAACACAGGCTGGTTGGTCTAAGGTAGAAATAAATAACTCTGTCATTGGCTAGTATTAAATGCTATTCATGACACTAAATATGTCCCTCTGGGTTGTATATGAATATATATTACTTTCCAAACAGCATTCCATTTTCTAGAGCACTATATTATCAGTCCTGTAAGGAAGATTTATTTTGCTTAAAAAAAGGTAAATTCTGAAATACAGCTTGTGTAGCCCATGCCCCATAGCAGTTTACATTAGGGTTGACTCGGATACTGACACGGATACCTGGAAATGCATATACCCGGACCGAGGGATAAACGGGGCGTTATCTTCTCATTTTCTATAATGTGCTTCCCCAAACACTTTTTAAAATAATTTTTTGTACATTTAAACTAAATTAAATAAATAATAATAGACAACCCACTAGCGATTGGTGCGAAACCAAATGTAATTTAAAAGAAACTGCAAAGCTCTGAAAATAATAATGTATTTGTTGTGAATTTTGTGTGTTTTATTTCTCTAAGCAATAAGCATATCTTTAGATATGACCATGGCACTTTCTATTAACAATTAATATTTCATTTTACAAGCAGATTGACAGATGATACTGAGCAGCCAAAGTTTTGTGTTTCTATGTGGATCATTTCTAAGTTCTGTTATAGATTTGCAATAATAGAAATGTAATTGAGCACTCATTTAAAAAGTGAAGCAATTGGCTTAATGGAAGGAAGGCTAGGGTAATATCTTCATGATGATCATGTAGGCCCTAAATATTTATTAAAATAATATGAGAACTTGGTATGAGAAAAGCTAAAACTGTGACCATCCAGCGACCAGCGATATTAATACATATATCAAAGCTCTGCTCCATGTTTCAGTTTTGTTATGTTTATGGGTTATGGCAGTGATTCTCAACCTGTGGGTTACAACCCCCTCAGATTGCCAGACAAAAATGACAGGGGTTGCTTTAGAATTTCAGAAATATGAAGAAAAAAAAAGGGGGGTTGGAGTGGGGGGTTGGAGTGGGGGTTTGTGTGTTTATGTGTAAAATGTACATTTTTTCTTACTGGAATGTTCATTTTAAATTTCATTATTATTTTCAGTGATGGGACTACTTCTCCTTCTTCTTTATATTAAGGGCACACGATCAATGTATTGATCAAGCTGGCTCCTATCTATGTAGAGGGATTTGCAATGATTCTTATTGTTACTACACTCTGACTAAACTATAACTACATTAAGTACATAAATAAAAACTATGATTCTTTCGGTAGATGTCAGCAGCAAATTGAATATAACTAGATTGGCAGTTTCTTTTCATTCTTTTACAATTAGATTATAAATGATTTTGATTGTTTAATTTTTTTGTACCTAAACTTAAAAGTTGGAGGCATCCACTCAAAGCTATATCCAGATGTGTGAATTTATCCAAAAAATTCTGGGAATTGACTTACAGAACCCCCCTCTACAGAACCCTCCCCCTTTCTTAGCCATTAATTCTACTTCCCTCGATCCATGATCAAAATTACAGTACCAAACCTTTTTATCTACAAAAAACTCTGCCCCCCCCCCTCCTTTTCTTCCTTTCTTTTTGTTTCTCAAGGTATAATATTGGTCTTGGGTCTCCACAACTTGGCAAATGTTTTAAAGGGGTCGTAGTACTAAAAAGGTTAAGAACTGCTTGGTTCCGATTATATTATTAAGCTAATATTGTCTCAAAATACAGTGTGGACAAAAACTGCATCCATGGGGTTGACACTGCATGTGAACAATCAAAGTAAATTTAGACATCAGTGTTAATAGAAATATGTTATAGTACCTGTATGTTGGTACTCTGGTCAGAAAAAGGAGAGTTGAAAAAAGTGGTGATGATATTCATGACAGTGACAGTGACATACTGTTCCAGCTCTGTGTTGGCATGCTTTCTGTCATGTGTTGCATTGCACACCTGGCAAGTACAAAACAGGATTATCTTGAAAATCCCATTAGATCAAATAAGGTCAATTATGATCAATTGAACAGTGTAGAATTTACTTTCAGTCAAAAGACCAAGAAATGTTTGGTGGATCTCTAATCCAATACATGAAATTAGTGACCTGATTATTTGGGAATGATGTCAGCTGAAAAAATTGCTCCATCCCATATAAAATAACATCCTAACAAGAGAGCCCCACTGGGATCAAGGAGTTGATTTATTGAAAATATCTTTAAAAGGTTATATTTCTAAATGGCATTGATAAGCTTACTTTCATCTTTGTATTACTGTTCACATCAACCAGAGACCACAATTTAAATTCATAAAAGATTCTTTCACCTTAGAAGCCATAATTTAAGAAAAATTAAAATCCTCATACTACTGTATAATCTCTTTGGGCAGTTCACAAAAAATTGAAGGAAAAAACAACAAAAAACACTTTGTTGTACAAACTCAGCGTTAAAAGATTATCACTGTTGCTAAAGAGCAGTAAAAGTTCCCTACTTACCATAGCAATATCCACCAAGAAGTTTTCAAACAAAGTCCACATGTGTTTGCTGGCATATATCTCCTTCATCTCCACCTCAGTGTCCACATAACAGTGGTTGAGGAAATTAATGTACGCTGTCTTCACCTGTTACAAGTTATAACAATAAACATGCTAGTAACATACAGTATCCACATAACAGTGAGCTTTCTTTACCTGATACAAGTTATAGCATGTGGATAACTCACTTTTTACATTTTATCGAAACTAAGCAAGTGGATAAGTAACTTTTCACAAAATATATTATTGCAGCTTGAGATTAAGATATCTGTATTGTTCTAGATCCAAGTAAAACATGAGGACATTGGAATGGATTTTTAAAAAAAGGTAAATTTCTATTTAATTAGTTTGGAAAATCACAACTTTTTAAATGAGAAATAAATTACATGAAACCAGATTCTGTAAATTATATGTGAACATCAGACAAATGAGATATTATTTATCCCTACATGGTGTCAATAAGAAATTTTTTTACAAATATTTTTTTGTGTGACAAGTGTGGAAAAGCGGAAATTAAAAAAAAAAAAATGGTTAATGTGACATCATCATGATGTCATCAGGTCATGAAGAGGTTAGTGAATGGGCATTTATTTCATTGCCACTGGAATGAAGTCAGGATGATTCTTGGTTATCAGAATGAAAGTTGTTCAAAAGCAAACCTCATTATAGTAACAGTCACATCAAGAATGCATTTCAGATGAAAATCAACAGTTAAAAATGAGTGATTATTTTGTCATAACCCACCTCAGGAATACAGTCTTGATGAACAACAACTTTGACAATATCATCCAGGGGCAGCAGGGAGTGGCACTTGATCTCTGTGTACACATTCTTGCCCTCAGTGCACAGGGCCAGCAGCTGGACCAGGTGAATGTGATAGTTGAGGGCGCTCTTCTCATTCACCCTGTCCTTCTCGGACTGCATCAGCTCAATCAGGTGTTCAAAGCTAGATGGCTCATTGTAGAAAACAAGGACATCCTCACCGACATTGACCAGCTGCAGTTGGTGGAGAAATGGAGACTTTGTTAGGATTGATCTTTATTTACACCAACAGTTGGGAAATAAAACTAGAGCACTGAATGAAGAAATGAATATTTTTACAAGGGCTATGAAATGGAACACACATTTAAATAATGCACAGCGCACTCCAAATTATTAGTTGTAATCACCTAAATGTGCAAATCAAGGGAACACTGAAGTTATTGCTTGTCAAAGGAACTATTGTTTGTTGAGGAAACACTGAAGTAGTATTGTTTGTCCAAAGAACTTGGAAGTTTTTTTTTTTTTTCAGGGAGCTTTGAAGAAGTATTGTTTGTCAAAGGAACTTTGAAGAAGTATTGTTTGTTGAGATAACTCTGAAGAAGTAAATTTTGTCAAACTTGGAAGAAGCATTGTTCCTATCGGCAGGGAGTACTCACCTCAGACATGACCAGATCTTGACACCGCCTGATGTACTCCCCCTCAGCCTTGACTATGGTCTGGAGGAACTTCAAGTACTGCACATGTCTGCCATGGGTCTCAATGTTGTGAACAAAGTGCTGAATAACCCTGTCACTGACTTCATTAGATAACTGGGCATTGTCTTGAAAAATGGCTTTCATTGTCTCAGCCTCCAGCAGCTGTTGGTCAAAGAAGATTTACAGAAAAATGTAACACACTTTCTATAATTAGTATCTGAGTATTATTTTATTTTTTAAAATCATAAAAGAAGAATCTGAAAAAATAATTTTAAATGTATCTCAGCTAAATCTGATTGAAAACTTGTAAAAGTTATGAGGGAAAAAATGTACATTTAAATCAACATTTGTATCAGTTATAAAGAGAGTGAGATAATAATGAAAGGAAAACTCACCCCTGGGGTTAAAAATAGTTCCAGCTTGTCCTCCAAGAGGCACTGGTTGGGCTGGTTGTTGAGACAAAAAGCTTGGAGAAACTCATGAGCCAGCTTCATCAGCTCATTCATGCGACTATCCAACTCCTGGTAATAACAAAAGAACTTCAGTAGGTGACTGAAACCTAAATACACTAAGTAGTAAGAGCAAAAATAAACATCTAAAGTGAATGAACACTGAAGCAATATACTTTTTTTAATAGTGTGAGGTGTAAATGATATTTTTTTATATCATATTAATGCATGCATAGCATACAACCAAAGGAAATGAACAGATGCCATGATTTTTGCCCTTTGCAACAAAAATAAGTCTTTACCTTATCATAGGTAATACTGAGAAGCTCCAGAATGACATAATGTGCATTCATATTTCTCAGAAGTCTTTGCTCATGCTTGCGTGCCTTCTTCAAGTCCCCAGCTTCCTGGATGCACAGCTTTGTCAATCTTTGTAGGATCTGTCAAGCAGACAAATGTAATAAAATACATGTAAATGAATGGAGGCAACACATGTGTTATTAAAACATGTTTTAAACGGAAAGATTAAAGATGAGCTGACTCATGTGGGAGGCACATTTTTGTAAATCTCAATTGATTATTGCTGATATAATATTAATGCAGCCATTACATTATGGGTTGGGACTATTCAGAGCAGGTGTTACAATAGGTTTCTTTAACAATGCACTCTGATATTTCAAGGTCTGTTTCTTGCTAAGTTCTATTACAAGTTAAATGTTAAACTTATGTGATTGGATTAAAATAATATAATATTCTATTATTTGTTTCAAGCCATCTCTCCAAGAGATATTTGTCAGACAGACATTTCCTTTACAAATTAAAAAAAGGTGATCTAAGTTACACTAGATGTTTTACCATCATCCTCATTATCTGCTGATAGTGAAACTAAATAGGAAAAGAAATCAATTATATATTTTTTAATTAAAAAAAAAAAGCTACCAACTAAAAAAATAGAAAATTCTACTGAAGCACCAGATATTTTAATAAGGAGAATTAAACTTTGCGAGGAAGATGATTTGAGATGTACAGATGGCCCCAAGCTCAGGCAATTATCTCTGATAGATACGAATAGTTAACTTTTTAAATTGATATAATCCAACAAATCAATCAAAAGTCGGTTGTTAAACTAGAGGCAACAGCCTCTTTTGGGGCCTAGAAATAAACACTGCTTAGGCTTGATTTAGAAAGCTTTTTTTTGTTGCACTTTAAAACATTATTGGCCACCCTGTTTGAATATAGACACTGACCTGCATAATCAGTTTACATACCATTTACCATTGTTGACCTGACAGGTGTCCTTATATGCAACTAATACAAAAAGTACCATGAAATTCATGTGCGATTTAAACCATGTGCCCGGCATGTGAAGTATAAAAATATGTACACCAACAACACATAACAGCAATTATTTAGTTCTAACAAATGCACAAACATTCAAAAGAAAATAACAAGAAGGAAATCTTGATGTGGCATACTTCAAACGGACGACTCTTATTTTTTGTTTACATGTAATATTAGCTAATTTTCAAAATCAATCAATCCTAAATAAACAAGAAGAAAAGAAAATTAAATGCAATAACCACCACCAAGTCGCTACTGTTGGATTGACAAGTTAGATGGACTTGTTATTTTCATGAGCAAAATGCTCCTTAGATTTGTGCATATTATTTTGAATTGTATAAATCGCTACAGCTACCAGATACAAACTTCAAATAAAGTAAATGAGAATATTTGAAAATTAAAAATAAAGGTTTATAATATTGAACAAATCAAAATTGCTACTCAACAGTTGGCCAAAAAAATTAATAGGAAACAAAACTAAATAAAATTACGAAAGTTTGAAGAAATAAATATCTAGTAAAAACTGTATCTAATGATTTAAAAATTATGTAAATTGTGTTTTAAAATAAATGATTTTTGAACCAATTATTTAAGATTGAATGAAAGAAAGCTGTTTAAGAAAAATAATGCATAATATGGTCCATGTATTATGGTATTCAGATCACGTAAGTAATGGGATTTTACAATTTTTAAATACTAAATATGTTTTTTCAATTCTAATTCATGTCTTGGGCTCAACATTTTCATATTTTTGTTAAATGTCAAGATTTCTTCTCACATAATTATTACTTTTTTAAGGTGCATTTTTAATAAGTGAAGTTTTTAACATTTGACTTTGAAAATCTATTTAATTTACTAAATTCAAAAGTATTTTATTTTATAAAATAATCATCTTCAAACAATGAAAACAAACACAAATTTCTAATAAATCCATATTACTTGTATATCTAAATCTAATCAAAGAAAACTCCAAATTGTTAAATTTTATTGAAGGTCTAGCGAGCTAAATGGCCTCTAATACAACCAATTTTACAGACGATATTCAACAAGGAGAGCTTCTAAATGTGGACCTTTTTGTTGGCACTTTCAGTTGGCTCAATGCACAACTTGGTTAGTCTTTGTAGAATCTATCATGGAGGATATAGAAAGTTCAGTGGTGGGAAAATATAAATCTATTGAAAAAATCGACAGCCTTAGATGATGATTATCATAACATAAAAGAGACTAGTTTCTTGTGAAGTCAAGGGAAAAACGGTATAGACACTGTTGATTTGTGCTTTAAGTTCAAGATTTGTCATTAAACACAAAGTAACTACCTGAGTTTAATCACTCTAAGAGTGTTGTTTAACAATGACCTGAGGACTTGACTGTTAGGAGCAATGATTTCCAATAGGATTTACTTCCCTTTATTAGCATCTCCAGATGCCAAAATTGTGCAAACCTGCGTTTTAAGCAATGTCTAACAGAATGGCATTACCTAATTTAAAATAAAATACTGGCTTATTCCATTTTTCTTTGACTTTCTTTACAATTACAAAACGTTTTATTGCACTCCTGTGAAGAAACTAATTGGAATTTAACATATCAAATGCCTTTACAGTAGGAAAAAAAAAAAGAAGAGCCAAATATTGCTGACAGCTTTAGTGGAGTTAACCCTTTGTTATTGTTCAATCAAGTATCAGATTCTGAGAAGAAGCCACCTGAAAGTCTCTAAATGGCAACATATAATACATATACTTACTGCCTTGATAGTCTTGTAGTTTACACTAGAATCACTGCTGATCGGTGGTCCTAAATCAAGATCAATGGCAGATTCGGATTCTGGGTGACCCTGTACATTAAAAAGAAATTGATGAACAGAACTCAAACTCAACTTATATCTGCTATTAAAAGGATGGAGGCCAGGATTTCTTTTACTTACAAGGTTCCACATTATGAACTATGAATATGCTATGGGCAAATGTTTTTCCCATTAGTCTCATAACAGATATGGTTACACTGAACTCTCAAAATAGCAAAATTTAGTCTAAGAATAGTACTTTACCATCCAAAAATTGCACAATACAGTATGGTACTAGTAACTAAATAACTTAAGGGCAAAAGTGGGGGTGGGGTTTGGGAGGAGGCTGAGAAGTTCAAAATGCAGAGATGAACTTTTGCATCATTCTACACTTAATTGTAATGCTTGTGGAAAATTAGGTTCTCCTTGCCTGTGTTTATATAAATCCTTTTATTTTAGTTGTTATTAAATAGTGAATTTTGAAAATTATTAATTAATTTTAATCTGTTTTTTAAAAGCAGTCCAAAAAAGGGGCAGGTACACAGAAATGGCGCACACCATCACAAAAAAAAATGTATATATATGTGTTTATTCCAAAAATGAAAATGATCACTAATTGAATGAAGAAATAAGTTCATTTGCGATACATCCCATTGGCCATAATTTATAATATTTGGCGCGACAGTTGTGGGTTACCTCCCCCATGCATTAAAAGTAGGAGCCTAATTTTATTTTCCGTTAATATATCGTAGTCTAATAACTTCCACAACCAGTATGGAGAGAAAGGAAGAGGAATGCCGGTGTATTAAAACTGCACAGCTGCTTAGTGATTTCTAAAAATAGATTTCAAATGCCTCTTCCCAGATCTTATAAGATTTGAGAAAATTTAACGCTGCTGTGCGGAGCAGTGGAGGATGCATTTCTCCAAAAATTATGCACTTTTCTCCATTTTCTAAATTGACGTTGTTCAGTCGAACAAAGAAATAACTATGTCACAAAATTATGTCATTGACCACCAATGAAGCAAACAATATCAAAAGTTTACTAACTTTGTCACTTGGGCGAATACACTAAATCTAAATTTGTTGCTGCATCTAGTGAGTTCATTGTGAAAACATAAAGCAACAATATTACGATCATTGAGTGGTGGCATTATTAGTCTTAAAAATTCTACCCCTCCCAAGCACACATATAAGCTTCCAAGTCAACACCACCCCCTTTCCTCTCTTAGCACCTACAATAAAAAATTATGGATGGTCCCCAGCCAATCATATTTCTCTGTCCATTGACCACTGGGTGTAGAAATTAGCTAAAACTAACAACCAAAAATATTTTATTTCTTATTTTAAATTGTACAAGCCCTTGAAATATAATTTTGTTAACTGGTCTGTCATAAGTTTAAACTTCAGTGTTTGTTTCAACTGTGCTGACAGATATAAGTATTTACTGTGCAAATGAAAGCATCCGATGAGTCATGGCAAACGCAACACTTCATGCAAATTAGCGTTGTGTTTGTGATCCCTTGCGATCTCTCCATTATTGCAAGTTTCACATTTTTAATCATTTTTCACTGATATGATCATACAAAAATCAATAGCTAATTTAAGTCAAAATAAATGCAATATTAAATGTAAGTAACATTCAATTTAAATCAGATTAATTCTTTGATTGCTAGGCTGGTAAATATTTCTTTCTTGGGCATCAAATAAATTTTCAAGACATACCGGATGGTCCTTTTTTTTCGATTTCTTTTCAGGCTTCTCTGATGCCTCTTTCCCTTCCTCACCATCATCATTGGTAGACTTTTTCTTTTTCTTCTTTGGTGCATCATCACCATGTTTACTTTTGTAGACCCACAACTCTGACTTTTCCACAAGCAAACGAAGTTTGTCAAGGTCAGATTTTATTTGACGATAGTTTTCCACATCACTGGTGGTGACTAGAAGCTGGACCTGATAATTTTATAAAAATAAAATTTTACAATTTCAAACAAGGTAATGGAAAAATAATTTTTTAATTAGATTTTGTTTAAAAAAGTTTAAAATATTTTTCAAACATAACAAAAACTAATAAATTTTGCCACACTTCAAGGAATTGAGAGTCATTTTTTTATGTAGGAAAAGGCAAATAGATCAATGATATTTTTATTTAAATTATAGCTTAGGTCTGGAAGAAATGAATATATTTTAATTTAAAAGTTTATTAAAGTTGCTAGACAAAGGAAACTTTGTTCAGCCTAAGTATAAGTAGATCATTATTATTTCATGGCCCACTCACTTGTGTGAAGGCATTGAGGACCTCCTGGCGCTGAGAGAAATGTCTAAACAAAAGCTGCAGAGCACCAGAAACAAGAGATGGGTAGTTGTGCATCACCATGTTCAGTAGCACCCTGAGAAACATCTTGCCGCCTTGGCCATCAAGGTCCAACTCATCACTGCGCAGAGAAAATAGAGACTGTACAAGCAAGAGAAATGGATGGCAAAAATATAGACAGGAATATAGCAGCTGTTTAATATTTGTTGACACAGATGTTTAATTTACATAAAGTAGGATTGCAATTTTCATAGATATGAATGAATTAAAAGGTAACAACAAAAAGATAAATGTCCATGCAGCTCAAAGTTAAGAATGCAAAGCTTCAGTTTACAACTGCACATTCAGCAATTTCAAATTGCAAAAGGCTTTCAGAAAAATAATCTTAATTTAAAGAAAAATTCAGTAACATGTTAAGACATACTTGCCAACTTCAAGTAGCTGAAAGCTAGTGCAGAGACCAAAACAAAAAATTTTCAAAATAACAAAACAAACTTTTGGTGAAGATTTTCATTTATGCTGGTTGGAAATAGTATTATGTTACGATTTATTAAGCATGCATTAACTAAAAGTTATTTATCTTTAATGTAGAATGGTCTTGATCCAAACTGTAAAAATATTATTGATATTTGGTTAGAGTTGCTAGAGAAATATTACAAATTTGAAACTGCAGTATAATCTCAATTAACGGGCAAATAACGGACGGATTTTTACAGAAAAAAAACAACTAATTATTGTTATGTATATTTAAAACCAAAAAAGAAATATAAAAGAATTTAGAAATAACAAAAAAGAGTCTTGAATTTCTTAAAATAAAATGTTATACATTTTTTACATTTTATTGTGTCTAAACTTTTTTTTGTTTTTTTAATATCTGGGCAATTGATTTAAACATTTTTGTCTGTTAAAGAGAATCATAGATTTATTACCCTGCGTCCCTTCCTAACTAAAAGTTTGCTTTTTCCATATCAAATGTAATTTAGTTCTCAAGTCCAACAAATGCTACAAAAAAAAACCAGCAACTTAAGTTCTTTTACTCTGGTTTTCCAATTTTCACCATCTTTTATTATCCCAATTTCTTCAAGTTTTCATCAGATAAAAAATACATTCATGGATATAACAAACAAAATAATCCACACATGTATGTTTGAGAATATGTAATGGTCTATGTTAAGTGTACACACCTTAGAAGGCTTACAGAGTATGGGTAAATTTTAAAAGTTGGCAAGTATGGGTTGATTATTTTTTAAATTTTGATTTCCAGGAAAGCATTAAGACAATGCCCCCAGAAAGTACATATTTATAGTAACCCACTCATCAATGGTTTATACATGCACTTTGAAAATTGTGTGTACTCACCTGCCTCCAAAGACATCTTCAGCTTGTGTGGCTATGCTGTCTAGATCCAGCCCTGAAAAGCCCCCAGCAAAAAGATATTTCAAAAATCTTGAAATTGCAACAAAGAATCAGATGAACAAGCCAAAAATAAAAATGATGATAAAAATTAGCCCAATAATTCAAATTGAAATCAATAAGAAAATAACTGGGATGTCCTTTTTATATTTTTCTTTTGCTTTGGCATAGCTAAGTTGAAACAAAGTGTACAATTTTCAAAAAAACATATTTTCAAATTTTGTTATCTGTACAAGTATAAAACATTAATAAGTGATTTGAAGTAACTTTTGCAAGTAGCAAAAGCTTGGCTGGCAAACCTACATTTAAAATTTCAAAGAACAAAAACATTCTTGTGAGCAACACAGAAAACTAATTTTTCTATTGACTCATCTACCCCCCCCCCCCCCCTTTCCATGCTCCTCTCACCACCCCAATAGCTTTTTAATTTTCATACATTTTAAATATTTCTATGAACTTTGCTGAATAATTAAATACAACAAAGTGAATATTTGCAATGCATGAATTATTTATAAATGAAACTTTAAAATTTACTTGAGCTGTAAGGGCTATCTATATTAATGACTTTATTCAAATCTAAATACAAAAGAGATGCTTAAATATAACTTTTAACAAACCTATGAGAATTTTTGAATAAACAAAATTATTTTGCACACTCATACATATTTACTTTGTGAATAGGAATTTTTGCACATTGGAAACAATTTTCTAAGACCTATTTAAAACGTTTACTCGTTTTCCATAATAAAACAAAAATTAAGTTTTAAAAAAGTTTATGAGTTTGTTATATTTCTCTGCTGATATCATTAAATGCATTCTATTAAGAAGGAATAAAAAGTGGTTAAGATAGTGTGACACTGAGTGCAAACAATTATTGTTAAATGTTATTAGAAGATTTAAATATTTGGGATTTATATGTACATTAATGATAAGTTGTTATTTTTAGGGATATGAGTTTGAGATATGAACAAACATCTGCAGCAAGTTTAGCTAAAGAATACAGGAAGAGATGAACAACAAATGACAAACTGTCAGAATTTATGATGAAAAGTGAAAATGGATTCAAACACAGACTTTAAACGTTTCAAGAATTCTGACACAGCAGATTTAGTCTGTGTGGAGGATATAAATATTCATATCACAAACAATATGAAAAAATATGTATGTCCATTGCTAACCTATTTTATAACTATTAAGCACTTTTGCAAAAATTGAGCCTTTAAATACTATATCTTAGTTGTTCAGATTTAATTACAAATTTTTTAAATAATCAGTAAAATAAAAGTAGTACAAAATTAAATGCAAATAATTGTTTAAATTGAGCTTAATGAAAAACTTGAATCCAAAGAAAAGCATCAAAACATTAGTCATCCAAATTTGTGTTTGAAAATAGCTCTGTGAGAAGCAGCAGTGAAAGCCTGATATGATTCACTGGGGTGCTATTGGTACTGAGCAAGACATGCAAGGTCGGAAAATAGATCACAACACAGTAAATCTGAACACTAATCAAGACTAACTAACTCATTTGTAATAAAGATTTTAATATTAAATTGTACGTGTTTTATCTCCTGTCCTTAAAAAAGGCAAATCTTGATCTTAGGCAATTTTTTATGTTTTATATCCAGAGAAGCAATGACATTTCTTTGTTTAGTTAACTGTATGCAAACTTACTTATCAACTGTAACAATCGCTTCTAACTAAGACAATAAAAATAAGAGTGTAGTAGTAATTAACTCCATCAATGTGCAGTAAAAAACTGAATCTGGCAGACATTTATTGAAGAACCAGAAACTGTTAGGTGAAGCCAAGCATATAAACAGTGGACTATGAAACAACAGGCTGGCCTGAGAGTGGGTCACAAGACTCAAAGAGACAGAAAGACCTACGTATGTTAGTGTTAGACTTGTACACTGGACTGTTATCTAGCTGGGGTTGTATCTGGGACTTAAACATGGCCAGAATCCAGGCCAGGCGATAATCCAGGCGCACATGCATCAGGTACTGGGCGCACATAGGTCAAGGTCAGATATACATATATAGATTGTTAGTAGTGCAAACTTATTTATAAGCCCATTCATAAATAACTTGGTGACAGATACAAAGGCTCTTTAAATATATTTTGAATAATAAAAAATATATTTAAAACTCTTCTTTGCCCTCATAATTGTTGGAGGGAAAAAAAACCCATAAGATTTTAATTTCTTGCAGAGAAAAGCTAATTCCCTAAATTAATAAGCAGGCAGACAATAAAATGATCATTGAGGCCAAGAAGTGAAAAATTAGCTTCTTTAAGGTTATATAATTTTGATTTTGTTTTAAGAAGCAAGTATTTTCTTTTTAAAGATGAATTCATTTAAACTACAACATAAAATCTGCAATAGCAGGCCTGCACAACATACGGCCCGCAAGCACCCACTTGGCAGTCGGCGAAGTAACGAAATATTATATATTATTATTATTTTTTTAATAGCTTTTGCCCAGTCCTATTATCTTTCGGCTCGCACAAGTTTTTCATAAAGTATTACAGCCCCCTTAAATTTTGAGTTGTGCAGGCCTGTGCTATAGTATTAAATGTAGCAAATATGAATAAATGTGTTTGTATCTAACAGCCATGTGCACTTACTAATTAATAGATCATTTGTCAGGTGGTTATTGGTCTAAAGTCTTCAGTCCTAAATTTGGTACCATTAACTTTAGATTTTTAAAAAAATCACTACTCTTAAATGGTTCCCAGGATGTATGGACAAATATTAAGAGTCTGCAAAATGATAAACCACTATCAAAAATTGTTTGTTTAAAAAGCCAGTTCTTCAGAATATTTTCTAAAAATGCCTATTGTGGTCATTAACATTCTAGAAAAGGGAGAGAAAAAAATAAAACTAAATTTTTAAGGAACTATGTCCTAAGCTGTAATGTTTATATTCAAAGTCTTGAATAAATTGTTCATATGTAATTTCAACAAAAGCTTCATTAAAATTGTATAATAAATTTGTGAAAGTAGAGAACATGTAAGTTCCCATTTACAAATTTACATTTTGATAGAATGGTTCATTTGCTGATTGTTCTAAACTTTAAAAAGAATTATTAGTCGGAATGATGCCTAACTGGAACAATGCCGAAACATTTTCACTTTCAAACAAAATTAGAATTAAATATTTGTTATAGGAAAAATGGGTTTTAAAAATGTAAATGTTGAAGAACAAAAACAGCACCAAAAAAAACAAAACAATAAAAATATTAAAATGTATAGATAAGTGTTGTTTTTAAAAAAATGTATATATCATTTTATGATAGTTATGCAAAGCATGGAGAAAATAAGAGAGCAAAGAAATTAAAATTTATCCTAACTGCAGATGGTTAATTTAATTTTAATTTAAGACTTGTAAACAATGAAATTGAAAAAAAGGATTCATTTTTATCATAAATATAATTCCTACTACTGGACACACCAAAATCACTCAGTTCTGCAATCAGCTTAATACATAGAGACCAATATAAAAGAACAAGAAATAATTTATTGATTTATATGTTATTGGTTGCTGAAGGTGTGAGTAATAAAGTTTTTAAAAAAATTAAGTACGCTAAAGGAAACAATTTTAAAAATTTATCCATCTCATGACTGTTAGTCATCTGCTGTTAAAATGTGCTTATCATGTGTTTTTTTGTATGTTGATATAGCTTTTTTTAGAAATAGAATTTTAAAATTGCTATGAAATGCTCCTTTACTAATGAGCTAAAGGAATATACAGGTCTGAAAAAGGCCATGCATATAAGCAGTTGTCTACTAAAAGAGATGTTAGAAAAAATTTGGAAACCACAATGCCCTAAAAACCAATGTTTACCAGTTTTTTCATTGGGGTTATAATTCTCATCATGTTCTTTCTTGAAAATGGAGAGTAGGGATGTGATTCGGAAATCTAGTCTGGTGTCCATTATAAACTGAAATAATTACAGCAGGGTGAATCTAGCCATGTTCAGGGACATTTCTCAAACTTTTTTTTTTTTTAAATAATGCCCCTTTGGTAAAAATTACCAAATTAATGTGAAGTTTAGCGTTGTGTTCATAAAAATTGGATTGAAATTAGGTTATGTGTTTTTGACATATTAAATAAATAATACTCTGTGAAAAACACGAAATAATTACATTTTATAAATTCACAGACATTCAAAACTGAGATATTTATAAAAAGCAACTTAAAAATTAAAGAAGCATAATTATTTTTGTAGAGATATGAATCAACATTAAAGATCACTTAAATCCCTCCAAAGCCTTTTGTTTATATTTTATTATCATTGATTATCTCTGAACAGCACCATACCTTTAGAATCTCAATAATTTTCAGTTTTGTGTCCATAATTTTTGTGTCCTCCTCCTCTTCTTTCTTCTTCTTATTTTTTAACTCTGTAGCTTGCTGTGACATCGGAATGTCAAGGTCAGGATCTGAAATACAGGAAATGTATTTTAAGAGGGACAACCATTTGAGATATTTCAGAGGGGCTAGTTTGCTCACAAAACGTTTACCCCCATATCTTGAACAATTTTAATTTTATATTGGAAGATTAAAGGAAGGTAAAAAACTATTTTAAGATGAACTATCTTATAAAGCACAGCAACATTCGGTTAAACAATCAAGAAAATTTTTGAGAAAAAAAAAAAGAAAGAAAAAAAAATACAGGAAAAAAAACTTCACAAAAATAAAAATTCTGATGCACAGCAATTACTTGTGCTGTTTTTTCATAACGTAAAAAATCTATCTAGATTGGTGATTAAATTGTTTTAAAATTTTTCATTAATGATATATGGATTACCTTCAACGACTACAACAGCAACAGGGGCTGAAATGGGACTGGCAATAGATTCAGGAATACAGTCAAGAATGCTGAGCAATGTTTTGGTGAGTCGCAGTAAGTCAGAGAAGGAGTAGAAGCCAAAGTAGATCAACTGTCTGGCAAGGTTAACTACCTAATGATATATTGAAATATTTTTATTAGCTCCAACTGTTTGCTTGTACGTTTTTTTTTCAATTTTACATATTTGACTATTTTATATAGATATGTAGCTAACTTGGAAATAAGTATTATCTATTTCTCATCTTGAAGTTAAATATAATAAGTAACTTATTAATAGTAAAAGTACAAAAATTACTTTTTTAAAAACTACACTTTCAAAAATTTATAAGGTATACGTTTTTCTGTTCCCACTGTCTAAATAAAGATTGAGAGAGTAAATTTCATTATCTATCATGTTAAAAAGTGGGAGCTTGAATTTCAATGGTTTAAATGACAAGCACTAGCTATAAAAATGATAACATTACATTCCTCTTGCTATCCTCTTGGATACTACATATCAGCCAAGTGTTTATTTTAATTTTTATTTGTGTTACTTGTCATTTGTTTACCAAAGAAGGCTCTTGCTGACATTTTCGTTGTTTTATTGCGTCCTTTTTTAAGGTTTATCTATACCTTGTTTCACGTTTCCTAGTTATAAAAATACTCAATATTCTATAATCTGTAGGGTTTACCTCATATGTGAGGTTATTTTGTTCACCATCAGCCCATGCTTTGGTCACTATGTTGCACAAGTAATCTTCAACAAAGGCTATAGTGGGATCAAACTTTTTCTTCACTTCCTCTTTTTCTGGTGCTTTGGTTATATTGGACTCATAACTGGAGAAGATTAGGAAAAAATTGCCTCTAGTATGGCTGAGATTTTTTACAAAATAAAAAAAAATATACTTTGATGAAATGCCTTTGTAAACTAAAATTCAAATATTTCACAATGAAGTTTGTTTCACAAAGGAAGGCATGAATATTTTATTTTTTTTAAGTAAAAGCAAAACATTTTTAATTGAAAAAAGCAAAATAAAATTATTTAGAGGCTCTTTCAAAGAGAAACAACATTTCTTAAGCTGCGCTAGATTATTTTATTTGTGTATCAAGAACCAATAGCAAATAACAAATATTTTTACAATTTTGAACTCTACAATAAATCTGGTGAGTAATAGTAACATTTTTCAATTGAATTTCTAAAAAAATAACTCAAATTCAATATATTTTTATCAGAGTTGAAAGTTATTATATTTAAAAAAAAAAAAAAATATATGACAAAGCTCGCAAAACCCACTCTTCAATAGATATCTTTTGAGGTATCTCAGACCAAAGTCTTGCAAATTTAACAGGTTTCACTTGTTCCTGAGGATCTCGATCCACATGCATGGAAAGCATCAGTCTGCAGAAGGCAGCACGCAGGTCAGGCGGAAGAGACTCATCAGCCATACATCTGTAGAAGTTAACAAGACATTTATGATGCTGCTAAAAATGTATTTTGCATTTTTAAATAGAATTACTGAGTTAGTTGTAAAATTATTGAATATTATCAAAATAAGGAATTAAAGATTAACTGATTCTTAATAAATGATTAAATATTAATGTCAATAACTTGAATTTATTAAAAGTGAAGATGCCAATGTTTCATATTCCAAAAAGAGGTATCAACATCCTCTTTGTAACTGATGACAAATTGCTAGCTCTAGCCTGGAAATTTATTAATTTATTTGTAGAATTGTATGATTGACCTACTTTAGAATTAGATCTACATCCAGAGACTCGCTAAGTTTATTTATGGCCAGGTACTGTCTGTCCAAACACATGTGGGAGAATAGGTCAAGTTGGTGCCTAAATACAGTTAAGTTAAAATTTTAATCATCCAAAAATAAAAATTTTAAAACACTGTAAAGTTATTGAGGCTAAAAAAACAATTTCAACAAATTAACTGAAAAATGATTAAAAAAATCCATTACTTGTGTCTCAATATAGTTATTTATCAAATATGCTACAAAATTGTTAATTAACATGTTAATGTAAAAAAAACAGCATTTGTAACATGTAAAATAATTCTTTGAGTACCAAATAAAATACACTCAAGATTATGAAGAAAACTTTGTTATTATCTAAATTAAAAGCCCATAAGACCAATTTACACATTTAAAATCAAATTAAAAAGCAAATGGTTATAACATGGGTCCAAAGGAAGACACAACCAAAAACATTATTGAGATACCTGTAGTAATCTAGAATCTCCTTATCAGCTTTTATGTTATCAGCTGCCCCCATGGCAAGCTCTCTGATGCCTTTCTGACATCTGTACTCTGCCCCAGTGGTGCCTAACACCTGACGGACGCTGCCTTCTTCCTTGTTGTTGCCAGATTTGTCATAAGTTGGATCCCAAAACAAAACTACCTCATCATCCTCATCCATTGTCATGATGGTACCCTCATCACCTTCAGCTGGCATCTCGTACTCCATCTGTGTCCGAATCAGCCTGATAGATCAAAACATGAAAATATGCATGATTACATTGACAGTCTTGGTCAACAAAGACCACTAAATAGATTAAATTATCAGGTATGTGCTTATTAAAACTGTTGCCCTAACAAGAGTTGACATAAGTTTGTTTTTTTTACATTTAGTCATTGAATTGATGTAGCTCCATTTACTTGTGTTTCAATGCATCTTTGAAAGCTCCTGTATCATGTAAGTAAAATGCACAGCCCCATAGAGTAATGTAAACATTTCTGTCTCAAAAACAAGAGGTGTCAGACTTGTACACTTTGGGGCTCAACCCCAGTTAAGAGCTAGTAGTTGGGCCAAATTTACTTGTCAGCCCACCAAAGAAGCTATTCTTAGGTAGAGGAAGACATCAGATAAAAAAAACCTCAACCACCAAAGATGGAAGCAGTAGCTTACTTGGCGCATTAAAAAAAAATTGTCTTTTTTACATTCTCCTGAGAAAAATTGTAAATGCAAAATTAAAAAAATTAATAAATGAAAAACATTTAATATTTCTACCTTGTTTCTATGAGGATGTCTTGGTTTTCTAGTGCTAGTAGAGTTTTACAGATAAGCTCCTGGGTTATGGGAATAGCCACTTTACTGCATACACAAAGATCAGCCAGATAATCCAGAAACCTTTTAGAAATACAAGAAAATTAGCATTAATTTTATCTTCTTTCGCAAGTAATGTCAAAACAATAAAAATTAAAATTTCATATCACATAATCTACCACTTATAAACACTAAAGATGATGTTGTTTTTTTTCCAGAAAGGCTTGAGCTTACAAGAGTTTTAGTAGATTTATCAAGGACACATTGTGTACATTGTTGTACCTTGGTTCTTTCTTTCTCCTGACCAAAGAGACAAACATTTCAATCTCAGGCTTCTTGATGTGCTTCTCTAGCAGCTTACGGTTGTTGTGAAGCAGACCAGTGATTGTATCTTCTGCTAAAACATCATATCCAATCTGGCGCTGCATGAACTGGAGCTTGGCTGCCACATATTCCTAACCATAATATAACAGAACATTCTATTCGCTGGTATTAAATTCATTAGCTAAAATGAGCTTTATGGCAATGACATTATTTATTTCGCAGAGAGGAATGGTCAAAATATAGTAGAAGTTGTTAACATGAAGACATACTGCATGCAAACTTTCAGCCATTCAGACATCAACCCAACATGAGAAAAATACTTCACATCCTCTTTGAAAGCTGGTAACATCAAAACAGCTCCAGTTACAGACACCACCCAAAGGTTACTAAACCAGGGGGCACAAAAAGTAAGACACTTGTCAACTGAAAGGGAAGCGTTATTCAGATTGAAAATTACCTGATTTTTCCTATAGTTCTGAAAAGACAACTTGAGTAGCCTGTAACACAGACGACATAAGTGTCTAAATGCTGCATGTCTCTGATCAGCAAGTTCTTCCATTGACTGCATAAGAGCTCCATCACCTACATCATTAAATGGAGCTTGGAGGATTTTAAAGATCTGAAACAGCCATTGATTTTAATAAATTTTGATTGAACTTATAGTTGATGCAATGAGTCATAAGTCTTGTCATGAACTCACATTATATTAATTGCCTAATAACAATAGCTCTCTTTAACTAAATGAAAAAATCAAAAACCATTTGCTTTGCAAAAGAAGTATAAGTGTTTTTTTTTACTGGTATCAAACCTGAATTTGTAATTAGAAAAATGTAATAATTCCATAAATTATGTCATAAAATTGTGCCTTTCATAGAAAAGAATTTAAGTTTAGGAGCTCAGAACCTTTATATAGTTTTTTTTTCCTCACCAAAACTTCTGTATTCTGCCATTCATTACAAATATAGAATTTTCCCACTAAATTTTTCCATAAATAACCCACTCATATTCTAATTAAATGGGGTGGTGTAATAAAACTTTTAAATAAATTCTCATGCTACCTGTTTCAGTATATTCTGCTCCCTGATAAGTTTCTGTCTTTCTCTGTCTGGCTTGGAAATGACTAAATCAAGGCAATCTCCAGTGGGGTTGGAAAGTTCTAAATGGCCCAAAAAGTAGATGACATCTGTGATCAGCTGAATCACTGACCTAAGGTTTAAACACATAACAAAGATCATTCATTTGAGAGAAAGGAAAATTTGCTAAAAATTATTACTTATAATATGGTTGTGGCTCAAGTAATTTAAGCAAACAGATTATTATTTAGAAAGTATCCCGGCATACTATAACAGAATTTAGGCTTAATTTAACAGTTTTTGAGCCCTTTCAAAGAAGACAGTGTATACTAACAAGAATAAAATTGAACTTTGGATTTTTTAATGAATTTTTCAGTAACTGAACAAAAGAAGAAGACTTGTTTTTAAAATCTCTTTTGTTAAGTTTTTAAATGTTAAAGTAGAATAAAACAATGTATATTCAACAGTTTTTAGCTCTGATTGTATCGTGCATCATACCATCATACGTTAATAACAAAATTTCTTGAACGCATTACATAACACCTTGTGAGTGGTTAGTAGGAGTTGTAAGGTCATGGTTTGTGTTTTGCCGTAGCCTAATAATAAATTTATTAAATGCAGTCAAACATGCATGTTTCAGAGGGCACCAGTTAACTCTGCCCGAAGTTTCTCTTGCAGGAGGAGTTTAAAAGATTTTAACATTAGTTGGTAAGATTATGTCATGTACCTAGATTATTAAAATGTTAAGTGACAGATATTATAGAAAGATGATAATACATCCATATTTTCTGACATTTAATACTTTGATAGAGCAGTGGTTCTCAACCTTGCTAATGCCGTGACCCTTTAAAATTAGTTCCTCATGTTGTGGTGACCCCCAACCATCAAAATTATTTTCGTTGCTTCTTCATAAACATGTGTATATCGAAAGACTTAGGCGACCCCTATGTAAGGGTCGCGACCCACAGGTTGAGAACCATTGTGATAGAGAGATACCTTAAACTACTAGACATTTCTGTTTGGACCGAATGTTCTTTTCTCTTCAGAATCATATAAATAAATATGTCAATAAAAAAAGTTACCACACCGTAGCCACCATATGGAATAATTAACACCTTCAACCTTGTAGTGGTGTTATTACAACACGTTGCACAACACTGAGTGAGTAAAAGCCAGCACATGTAATCTACATGTACAAACCCAGACCTCCTCTGATTCTGCGTGATGGATGACTTCTCCAACTTGTTGGCTATCTCCGTTAAGACTTTGGCTGCATCATTGGCAAAGTCCAGATCCCTGACTTCTTGAGCTGACACAGGCACAATGGCAAATGCTTCTTTGTCCTCTTTGATTTTAGCACATCCAACCTGATTATAGTAAATGCCATGAACTCCATATTGTTATAAAACAGTGAAGTGACTGTAAAATAATTAATATATATTTTTATAAAGGCTTTAAAAGACATAGAGGTAATAATAGTCATGGCAATTCATTACAACTTACATTTGTTCACTCAAAGCTTCAAGCAGTAGTTCTAATAGTTTAAAAATAGTTCTCCCAGAGAATAACCAACATGAACTCAATATTGCTTTGCCCTAAAATTACATGGCTACCTAAAATAGTCTAAGAATTGATATTTTGTCAGTTAAAATAAAGAGGAAAATTGAAGAGGAAAATAGTACCTTATTCATGATTGGTTTGTCTTCATCCTTATCCAAAGGTATAGTAGTGCTGTGAACCCAGGAGTCTGTGCATAAGTGGTGAAGTCGAACATATGTTTGTCTGGAACATTTACATTTGTTTTTATAAAATACAACATAAATGATATAAGAGAAAGAAAGAATGATGGAATATTCCCTGTAGCTGATGTACAATAAAAATTTTGAAAAGTAAAAATTATTTTAAATACATCTGTGTCCATTCTAAACCATACTTACTGTCTTTCAACTCTTTCTCTTCGGAATTAATTTCCGCGTTCTGACACCATATCTATTTTGCATATTTGTTATTCACTACTATGTTATCTTTAAACCATCATAACTTTTTTGTTTTTCATCAGAAAATGTTAAGTTTGGTACGGAATTAAAGGGGAATGCATGCTTTTTACAGACAATACAGACTTGGGTTTAAATTTTAATATATAAATGTGATTACGATTGAAGGAAAATAAAAATTTTAAATTAAAAAAACTCATCAAATGTTCACAAAACGCTCATTCCAAGTCACACAAAGAGAAAAATAGAATCCATAGTGCAACAAAAATGTGTTTTTTTCTGAACTATATCCATGTGTGCATCCCAAATAATAAAGATCTCATTAAAATAAAAAAATAAAAAAATGGAACACCAGAGCACATTATCCATTGTCACCACCACACAAAAAATGTCCAAAAAAAAACTATTTTCACCGGAAACAATTAGCTGCTTTTAGAAAATATTTGCACTCTATCCTTGTATGTACTAACATTTACTATGGTAAAATGAAAATTTACCATAAATTTGTCATTTCTTTTCATCTGGGATTTAGCTATGGTAAGCCTGAAAACAATCCATATTGATACACATATACCTGTACAGTTCGCCCTGCTCTATATTTTTTGCAAACTGTCCTTTTTCGAGCTAATAGGCACATGTTTTACTTCAATAAGTCTTGTTGGAGTGTTGATTTTAATTCTGTAGGAAGCATACTCATTTATTGAGAGTACAAGCTTGTGAATAATATGTGTGTCTAGCAAAGTAAAAAAAATTGTCAAGGTCATTTGACTTACTAGTCACAATACAAACTCCAAATTTACGCCTATATTTTTCAAACGTAAAAATCTGAAATTGCACTCAATTTCAGTGCTAAGATCAGCAGGTTTCCTTTTGGAATCTAAATTATTTATAGTAGGAACAATATTAACTCTTCTAGAAGGCACTTTAGCTGGGTGCGGGGCTGGTTGTTCATCAGCTGGTGAATTATCAATTTCATCACTTGTACCACTAATACTAGTAGTACTAGGATTATAATTAAGCGATTCATCAGAGTCAGCCTCTGCATCCGAAATCATAAAATCACTGTCTGAATCGTCATCAGAGTAATATTTTCAGCCTTTATTGGATCGATCACCAGATGGGTCAGGTCAAGATTTCGTGTTTGTAAACAAAACTAAAATGGACAATCAAAACAACCGCTTCAAATACTTCGTTCTATGTAAAAACTCCTTGAAATAAAGAAAAAACCGGATGTTCATCAAAGGAAAATCATTCTAGATTTTATTAAAAGTAATTACAAACCAATAGCTAAGAAAAGAACCGAAATAAACAGGTTTTTATACATTGATGATCCCATCGTCGATCCGTCCGAAATCTCATATAAAATTGACAATGGGAGCATTGATCCGGAGAGAAAGAGTTAAGGGACACTTTAAGAAAATAATACAAATAAAATGGGATACAATTGTGGCATGTATTTACAAGTCATGATATTTTTTGTTTTATTATGAAAAGGTTCACTTTAAAAGTGATGATTTTTTGGTATATAGACTAGATCACCTTGGTACAAGTGAATCTGTTCTAATCATGGTTGTTGGATCCAGCTCAAAAATGGATGCTATGTCATGGCCATGTGGAACTGAGACAAGGCAATATACAGGTAGGTTGGGCTGACCTCGAAGCTTATTGCGTGTGACATCAGTTGTGGGATCAGTATCAACCTATATAAATTAAAGGTGACTTAATGAATGGCAAAAATTTTAAAACTGAGTGTTTATCTCTATTGTTTAGCCCCTTATTATCTAATGCTTAAAATGTTTACTTGTTTTGACTTTGTATCATAATTCTTGATTTTTATGACATTGTCAGGTTGTTTTTTTTAATCAAATTCTTTGAAAAAAACAAATATTTCTATCCCCATGATTTTAAGTTAACCTTGTTCTTCTGTGTTGAGGTTCTTCTCATTTGAAATGTTTCACATCCTATTCTTTATGGAGGGACAACTGCTAATATTGCATTAACTTTTCTTTGCAACAGTCACTAAAACATACAGATGTAAATAGATATGTAAAGTTTTTTAATGTATCATAGAGTATTTACCTCTGCAGCGAGATACTGTCCTGTTGCCAAATGTTTAAATCTAAATAAACTGTTCCAGTGTCCTGCTCCACCACGACAAGGATCATGCTGCACAACCTTATTTTTTAGAAAGAAAAGATACTTTATCTAAAACAAGATTTAATTTTAAGACTATCTTTTTAAGTAAATAAGTGAGAATAAAAATGTGAGGGGTAAAGAAAACCACATTTTTATTCCACTTAAGTTCAGAAAAAAACCAAACTTTTAAGTAAAAGCTAACGCAAGCCATGGATTATTATGCCATAAGATTGCATACTGAAAAGTCCAAAAATGTATTAATTGTAGAAGACTGATTTTCTATAATATAATGTCATACTACCATTTTTCGTCTAATTAATCACCTCAACTTCCCATAATGCTTTGGAACTGGTAGCAGCAGTTGCTGATGTTCTTCCAGTTGTGCGCAAAAAAACGTACTGTTGCTTTTTATACTCATCACCTGTCAGAAACTTTTCTTGCTCTGCATGAAACAACCGAACCACATCCCCCTAGGAGTATTCAGATGAAAAGTTTGGATTTAATTATACAGAAATCTTGGCAAAAGAAAAGAACGATAGAGAGCTGAGAGATTAGAAAGGCTGTGAAGAAGAAACAAATAAGAGAGAGACAAAGTTAAAACAAAAAGAGAGGCCTCAAGTGAGCCATTTCAAAGCATCAAACATACCCCCTTGAGAACATCATCTTGATTCTCCTTGTAGTCCATGAACAGCATGACCTTCCAGCATGTGTTACTGCTAACTGAGTTAACCTCCTTACATCCAGGATTGTCCACCAGGTCACAGTTACTGGCATGCAGAGGTTGACCAGCATTGACTGGGTTCAGTACAACCTTATCACCGACCACAACCTGCAGGGTATTATAGTTTATAGGTTGTGGAAAAGAAATAGAGCAAAAAAATGTGGGAAACATTTACATTAAAATTATTAAGTGTTTGGCTATGAAATTATGGCATAGCTAGATTGCTTCTAATTGTATATCTGATTTGCGAATTTTATTGTTAAATTTTATTTTGATTAACAGAATTTTTTTCATAATCATAGAGTAAATATATTTTTAATTAAAAAAAATAAATCAGAATAATTTAACCCGAGATAAAGCTGATTATTAGATTTGAAGTACCTTATCCCCTGGAGAGCTGTGCTTATAAAAGGGTTGTATATAAAACCAAGAGCCCTCATTTCCAGAGCTGTCTAGGATAACTCTCATGGCATTCTTTTCCAACAATGCTGGCAAGCGCTTGTTTACTGTTAGGAATTTGTTGCTCTTCACATGCAGCAGCTAGAGGATGTGCACAAAAAATTTTTTTTTTAAATAATAATAAAATATATACCGGTATTGTTAATATTCACTAAGTGTAAAAAATAAAATGTCTAGATATAGATAGATTTGTAAATACTTTTATGAGCTACTGTGGTCCATTTCTTGATGTGTCAGTTTTAAACAATTTAAAATTTTTGCCAGTTTTTGTAGGTTAGTATTCCTGCAATTGATTTTTTGTATTTAAAAATATTTCTTTCCTTAGTAAAGTCAGTAAATAAATATATTGATCGAAGAAAAGGCTGTAGGTAGATTCTTGTACCTGAATCACATGGCTGTACTGTACTTCAGTACCCTTTAGTTTTTTTATTTCAGTTTCATTTTGTTTCTTTTCCAGCTCAGCGGCATGCTGAAAATAATAACTTGGCATTGTAATCTGTGATAAATCATACAAAAACGTTCAGAAGCTTTTTAAAATATCCAAGTGAAAAAATAGATCTTGTGACTGGTATTCGAGAAGTTTACTTTACAATAGACAGTTTAAGTTGATTATAGCAAAACATTTAGTTACCTATAAAAATATACAAAAAGTGATGTGCACAAATTAAATTGTCAAGCTTGAAATAAGTGTAATGTGAGTTTAAAGGAATAAACATCAATGACGTGCAGACAACATTAATTTGATAGGTTGAAAATATCAATAAACCAAAAATGATTTAAAAACGCTGGGTGGGGTTTGTTGCTTTTTTGGTTGAAATTAAAGACAGATATGAGAGAAAAAGAAAGTATTACTTTCAGACGCTGCAATAGAACAGAATCTGGCATAGATGAAGTCTGCTTTGCAGCTTTCCAGAACTGTTTCTGGGCAGAGTAGCGATTCATAGGACATATCTTAAATAAGCAGTCTGAAAAATTAAATCAACAAAATTTTAAGCTCTTTTTTTGTCTGCTAAAAGGCATACATACCAAAAAATTAAACTGCACAACTAATAAGAAATAAATTTCACCATCATCATCTACATGACACATGTATTAGAAATCACAAACTAATTATTAGAACCATTTATTTTTTTTAAAACATCACTTTTTTAACAGTATAAAAAGGTAGGAAGAATTTTGCTAACAGGAAAACTTTACAAATGATAATCTTTAGACTATAATAGCCTACTATTTTATGCACATTTGAATATTTAAATATTTAATGGACATCTACAGATTAATAATGTACATTTATTTTCCATCAATTTATACCTCTGAACTTTTTGGGTGGATTATTTAGGTCTCCTGCATCAGGCTGTACAACAGATCTGTCATCTACAAGGCTAAAACATTGAAATGGTTTTGATCAATTGTTGAAATGTTATAGGTAACATCTGTCTAACTAAATGACATTAAACTGAAAAAAGAAGCCGAGCAAGTTAAAATAAATTTTAATTCCGAAAATGTAACTCTTTTAACAAAAAAATTAAGGGGAGTGAATCCAAAACAAAGTCGACGTGGGCTGCTAAATCTGAAACAGCCAAGCCCTCAAATATATTAAATATTGACCAATAATTTAAACTTACCCAAGGGTTGATAAAAATCCACTGACACTGCCTTCAGCATAAAGGGAGACAATATCTCCAATATGCACGAAATTTGTAGCCATCTTAAAGATATTTTAATTTCACTACAATGATACTATTTTAATATTATTCATTGAAATGCACAACACATATCCAGACTTCAGTTTCATTTCAGATCAGAGGCCATCATCAGAGAGGAATAGGACTTCGAGAAATTCAAATTCTTATTAATGTAAAAGTTACTTTCGCGGTTTTCTTCGAAGTATTTTTAAGTAGCAATCTTAAATGCATAATATCTGATGGATAAAAAAAAAAAAAATCTTTGGTAAATATAACTTTAACATTTGATTATTATAGGAAAGATTATAGGAACATAGTTGACAGAGTCATACAAGTACAAGCATCCTTTAGCACTTATTAATCTTTATGTCAATTCAACTCAGTCAATTCTGAGTTATGTCAGGGTAACACTTAAAAAGTTCAATTAACTTGCTGACTTACAAACTTATTTCTCTGGTGACTGGTATAACCATTTATATATAATTATATTTACTTTATTGTTAATACAAATAATATGCCAAAGTTACAATAAATATAAGTATTATTAATTTATTGTTATTCTATACAATGACAACTGACAGTCAATAATTTTAGCATTAAAAATAAATCTCAATATGAATCATATATTATGATATATATGCTAGAAATAAAATTTAATAGGCTCCTATTTCTGGACTAATATAAATATCAAGTCAAAAGAGGACCTTGACTTAGTTAAGAGATCTCACTACTAAATCCTGAATGGTGTTGCATGAATGGAAATTTATGGAATCAACTGAATGAAATGAACCTGTCATGAGCTAACTAAAAACTAGTAGGCTAAAACAAGGGCCATAACAAGACATAAAAAAAAATAAAAAAATAAATGTTGCAAATGATTAGACTAGCCAGTTTTTAAAACTAAATCTACTATTGTTTCTTAACTTGCAAATTTGGGGTTAGCAAGGCGTAAGACTTTGAGTGTATTTATATGTTATAAAAGGCCCAAAATTTTATAAAATTGACGAGCAGTTCAATAAAATAGACTTAGCAGTGATCCAGTGAGTGAAGTTTTAGTGATTCAGTTACTGGGACTCTGGGACTTACTGGTCAACTACTCAGCCCTCAAATATACGTCTAAAGTGACAATTTACCAAATTGCATAAGTCAAAGGCTAAAACGTAAATTAATAAGTCTAACTAAATTTAATAACCATTCGGCAGCAGTCTAATTGAATGAAACGTAGTCGGCTAATTGTAAAACAATAATAAATGGTTCATGGCTACAACTTTGTAAGGCCAGGATTTTACTAAAATTACTGAAAAATCTGTGCGGATCGTTATAAATAATTTCATTCAAGTGAGGGAAAATGTTATAAAGAGGGAAGATAATTTTTTAAAATGTCTAGAGCACAATATACTCAAATTTATTTTAACAATTATTTAAATTCATTATAATAAGTAGAAAATTTTAATAACATTTTAAATTTTTAGACGCTTATAATTATATATTAATGATAAAAGGCTAGGGTGGGGTTAGGAAGGGCTTTTTAACCGAAATATTTCATTGAGTTATTATTAATCCGAGATTGCTCCGACTTGGGTAATTTTTATAAACTATTTAAATTGGCGGCTCATTAATGAAAGATTTAAATTATAACTCAGTTCTATTTATTTAAAAAAATATGAATTACATTTATTTAGACATTCGTGCGAGAAATTGGTCTTCTTCTGTGGTTATTTAAAAGTTTCTTTTAATACTTTTATACCCGTCAAAAATTTGGTGGATCCTGGCGTGACCCATTTAATTTTATGTATTTGAATTGTCGAATTGAAAGCGTTAAACAGATTATCATACAGGGCAATTAACAAGTCTAACAATGAGAGTAAACAAAATAATCCAATTTTCATCATGAGTTATTATAAACTTTGATATGTTAAATAAATGTTAAACCACTTACATATTGTTTATTGCTGCTATTTTTTGTTGTGTGCTCCTTTACTTAAATCTCCAACTATTATTTATTAACCTTATTTTGTAATGTTGCTCGTTGAAAAAAAATTGTTTGTGGGGGGGGGGGGTTTACCCCTCTAAGAAGATATGGACAATTCTAAGAGGGCATCAGAAGACTGAATGTGATCAACTAAATGGGCTAGGTTATTGTGAAATAACATTAATGCATATTTAAAATAAATCCATAGACCACAAAGGTAATATACAAAATAAATGTCAGCTAGTCAAAACATTAAGTATAGTTAAGGATATGATACAAATATGCTATGGGCAAGCTTGATAGAGTTAAGTAAAATGTGCAGTCATGGATCTATACCTTGATCCAATGGTACTATACCTTTAAAAGTTTGAAGTTATTCCCCATGCTCCACTCCAAATACTTTTAGTGGGTTTTCACTTTTTTGGGCATCCCTTCAATGTATCTTTTTTGTCGCAACCAATCTTTTCATTTTATATATATATTGTAACATTTTTTAATTGTCTAATGCAGGCCTGCACAACTCAAAATGTAAGGCGGGCCGTAATACATTATGAAAAACTTGTGCGGGCCAAAAGAAAATAGGACAGGACTTGTGTGGCGCAAACGAATATAGGTCAGGGGGAAAGCTATTAAGAAAATAATAAGAATTAAGAGTTTTTCATTACCTCCTGAGCCACAAAGTGGGTGCTGGTGGGCCACATTCGGCTCGCGGGCCGTATGTTGTGCAGGCCTGGTCTAATGCATTGTTTGTGACATCCTTACCATTGTGTTCTTTAGCCTGTCATTTTGGACAACCCACAACCTCATTTTTTTTTATCCAATGTCGCATTTTGAGATTTTATATTTGGAGTAACTTTCTGTTGTTTGTTCACTCTAATTGTCACAAGTGTCCAGGCAATTTCAATTAAATTATGTGCTATTTCCCACTTTATCATTTTTTAAAACCATTTAAAGATATCATCAGAATCACCATAAGAACTATAGAATGTGACATAATCACATTTTTATGTTAAGAATGTTTATTTCTGTGATTAATTTACTCATAGTCATAAAACACAATAAAAAGGCAGTTTTGCTTGAATTTTGCCAGTAATTTCATTAATCATATTACAGTGCAGTTTCCACTAAGATTTGTTCGCTCTGATCATGTCTTGTAAGTGATGAACTTATGTGGAAATAAAGTCATATGGTCCATAATTTATGCCTTCTAAGACACACAATACATTCTCTCAAAATAGCTCAACTGTAATCTGAGATCTCTCACAAAACAACACAACTCTTGTTTACACAACAATGCATTGTATTTATTTACACAGCAGTAGGCTGACAATGTTGAAGTTTTAATTGTAAGTGGGGCCCAAAACTAATCACTGGTAACTCTGCATATCATTATTACACATCTATTCACAGCAACTAACATGACAAGACATAGTTTGGTTTTCTTTAAAGCATTCTGAGGCAAATACTTATTCCACAATGGGTTGATTTAGGTAACATTTAAATAGACAAGGAAATCCATGTTATAATTATAGTGTAAATCAGTGATTCTCAAAATGTGGTACAAGTACCACTAATAGTACATTTCATTATATCAGGTGGTACATAGGGGTGTAACAAAAAAGAAACACATATCAACTCTGAATTAATAAATTTTTAGAAGATTATTTCTAAGTGGTATGAAATTCCAAAAGTTTGAGAAACCCTGATGTCAACAATCCAGAATAAAGTAGCTCTGAAGGAATTATTTTTATAATTTGGGCAATACAAAACATGAACAACAATGTATTATGCATTTCAACGTGCTAATAAATATATATGACTTTAGTATCTAACACCATAAATACATAAAGTTAAAATTGACATAAAAAAGATATATTGTGTGCTACAAAATGCTTTCAATACTTTTTATCAAACTTATACAAGTTTTTATCTCTTCCTGGTATTTCACACTTGGGTTTGCATGATCAAATCAGGGGGAATACACTTGATTCTACAAGTGGAATAAAGATACACTAAGAGGCTGCACTGAGCAAATTGGCTATTTAATTAGGTTATCAAGAATTTCATTTTATGCCAGAAAGTCCTTTGAGTGTTTATGAAAATATTACTAATACAATTTAGATTTCACATTTTGTCCAGTGGTAGACTAAAATTTCAACTAAAAAAAAGAGGACTGAATCAAAAAGGTGCTGCAGTAAGAATTTCTGAGAATGAAATTTCATGACCCTATCACTGTTAAATACAGTTAATTGTTTCAAGCGTTTAAGTAAAAATAACTGCAAATTCGCACAACAGTATGGAGTATTGGTCTCAATCTCTACAATCTGCAACAACTGACTATGCAGCAAAAAAAAAGTGCAGGTTTTGGGTAAAGTTCACAAACATACTGTGTGCTGGGGGCCATTTTTATTATCCTTTGTTTGTATCAATTGTATTCTTAAATCATTAGATTTAAATTATTATATGAACATTTATTAAGTGCCAAAGAAGGCTTTTTGCCAAAACATTATTTAATATTTTTTTTGTCTTAAATAAAGCTTCACTCTACCTACCTACACTAACATTTTGTGCACCCTGTAAAATAAAACCATTACTACTAAAGTCAAAATATGACAATAAAATAAGGAACTACTGATGTTAGTGTTAAAAGATTAAAGTAATTAAATAAACCAATCTTCTCCATTCCGGAAACAGTGACTGATTGAGGATGTGACTGGATATCCCAAGAAATATTTAACCATTCCAAATAAAATAGGTAGGAATAGCAAAAAACTATTCACCAGGCTGTCAAGTGTTTTCAGAGGTTTTTACAATCAGGTTCTCACAAGAAATTGTGTTGTCACATTCAAGATTATAGTATTCTATTCATTTCCTAAACACAAAAACAAATACAGGTCTAATTATATCATGATTGAAGTTTTCAGTGTTATAAAATTTTGCATAAAAAGAAAATTGTAAATAATAGATTTATAAATCTGGAAGTTGGTAGTCAAAGAATGGGAAGAATTTAAAAGTGGAGTTTCTTTTGAAAGCAAATACTAACAAGGTTAGCTGGTAACAGACAGGTTTGACCAAATATCAGCAGTAATAATAATGTATCAAATGATCCATAGTTACATGCGGAATGTGCTATCGTTGTTTATTACTGATGCTTACAAAATGGTTCATAGTATGTATCTCAAATTCATAACATGATAGAGAATTGGATACTTCATCTAAAAATAAATGGCTATTAATCAGTATTATGATGATAATTATTTTGATAAAATGAAAAACATTAAGTGAAATTTTTCAGCTTTGATAAAACATTTTTTTCCACTGGGCATAACCCACTTAACATTTATTAAACAATTAACACTGCCAAATGCTAAAACAGTAAATCTTACAAAATTCTTTAATATCTATTCTTATTAATCTTACTTCCCTGGACGGGGTTGGGGGGATTGTTTGACGATCCCACTCCATGTTACATGAACATATTCTATGCCAGGTACAACAATCTCCTAGTTATTAGTTAGGAATATCAATATTTACATTACAGTGATGTATTATGGGCATATTCAGAACAAGGTACAAAAATCTTCCAGCATGTAAGTATATCCATATGTCCCTTAAAGGAATAGCAAAGAATCTTCTAAGTTAGTATTTGCTTATGACAAGAGAAAAATACTAGTGACAAATAAGAAGTACCTTCACCCATCTACCCTTTAATATTTCACCACTATGTATAAATTTATGTTCACAAATTGTATCTAATTGTCTTTGTTTGTTACACAATGTACAATTTTGAGCATCAGTGAGATTATACTGGGAAGAAAAAAAATTAACATATCTAAAAGTGATAAAATCAAACAGTTTTTGAGAATACAAATCCAATAATAAGTCTGTCAAAATTTTTATTTAATAAAAAAAAAATCTTTAGTCTATCCAAAGTAAAAGATAACACCATTTAGTAAGCCAGTAAAGGTAAAATACAGAGTTCTGTGTCTGGACTTGTTTGCTGAGTTACCAAAGAAATGATTTAGAGGGAGGGAAACTAAACATTGTAATATTTACAATAAAATTACAGTTAAAAATAACACCTAAATAAATATACTTGGCATTAAATTTATTTTCCATCCCATAATTAAAAAATAAAAATGTTTACATCATCTGTGAAAAAATGTTATTTAACACAGAGTATGAGAAATAAAACCAATCTAAACATAAGGAAAAAAATATTTATTAAAAGTATATTCCTGATCTTGTATATTTTAAGAAAATGTTTTAAAAAAATGTAATTGTCAATGGCAGAAGACTTATCTACTATGAAAACACAGTCTTGAAACATAATGGAGAAGATAAAGCAAAAGCATAGATTTAAATTAAATTATATCATGGGCTACATCAATCAGCAAATTAACATCTTCAAAAAGACAAACTTATTTAGGTGAGAAAAATTGTGTTGTGATTGTCAATGAAAAATGGCAGATTTATAACTATAAAAATTAGAATTTCTTTACATTGAAATAGAGCAATAAAAAACTACTCCTTAACATAATTAGACCTATATGGTAAAAGTAATTAAAAGGAAAGTATTTTAAGAGATATGTTAGATCAGATCACAGAATAATAATAAGTTATTAATTTATAAACAAAAATAATTGAAATTGCAATGTTTTTAAGGGGATCAGAAAGTGTATACTATTATAAATATAAGAATGTAACTGTTCATGTGTCTAGTTAATCATCTGAACTGGTTGATCATGCAATATGTTATGGATGCTTTTTAATTCTTCCTTATCAAAAGAAATTTTACAGCAGAAAATTTGTTTATGTTAACAGATTTTAAGAAACTTGAAATGTCTTTGAATGCTTTTCATTGAAAATCTAGGGAAATTTCTTTTCCATCAGTTTAATTATAACCTGTTTGAAAACATAAAATTTCAACAAAAATAAAAATCTCTTCTGATTGGTCGTTGGTTGTTACTAAATGTAATAGTCATCTAAAACTCACTGCTTGATAGGATATCTTGATTGGATGTTACAATATAAAGGAATTTTATTTTTATAATAAATATGACCAAAATGTAGATGGGAAAATTACCAAAACTCAGCATGCTGTTAGGATAGCAGTGTGTAGAGGATTGTCAGCAATTTTTTCTAGAGATAAGGCACATAAGTATTTGAAAAAAAATTGGTCACTAGTGGAAATCTAGAAACGCAAATAAACAAATAAAGGGTCTATAGATACCACTAAAGTACAGCACATTTTAATCCTGAATAACATTTGACAGTGAAACATGCAACATGAATTAAACCTTGATGGTCAGTTGCAGCATATTTATGAAACACACACAACAGCAGCAGGGCAAAGCTGGGAATTTCATAAAGAAATTAGGGTTTCAACAATTTTACCTGTGTTAACAGCATGGGTTCTTAGGATGATAAATAAGTCATACTGCTAGATATAAGATACAGGTTTGACAGAGCACAAAACAACAGAGAGCTCACACAGTGAAATATGTACAAGTAATATTTAACCTCCAGAGAAGAGTGAAAAACATACAAGACATGATTACTAGCTCATAAGTTATACTTGTTAATGGTGTTAGATTAAAATGTGAGGAACACAATGACAATTGGATAAAAGTCAACCTTACGCTAGTGGTTCGTTTTCTAAATAAGAAATAGAGACTTTTTTTTTAAACACCATTGTGTCAGTAGCGGTACAACTCATAGAGAAACCTATTTATAATGCCAGAGAGAAACATGACTAATGAAGTAATGTAAACAGCCTTTGATAGAACACAGTAGTATGACTTGCAATATTTTACTAAGTCATGTTAAAAGAAAGTGGCAATTAACAAATGCAAAGAAACATTTTCCAGTCTAAAAACATTCCCTGAACCTCATTTCTTTTTTTGAGCACAACGAGCTAAACTCAATAAATCCATTTACTTTGTAACTTTGTATTCAAATTTTGGTCAGATTAAAAGTTTAAGCAGTACAATAATATCGCAACAAATTTTATCCTACGCTCTATAAATGAAATAAACAAATGTGTGTCCATGAGATATTCTTGAATGAAACTGATTCCAACAAACATGAGCATTGTGGCAACTTTGGTTGCATCTAACAATTCAGCACTTATGTATATATATAACTTTAACCAAAGTAATGATCATGTTACATTGAATCTCATTGATATAACATTACATTGTTTGTTTGCATCAATCATCACCCACCAATGATTAAATCAACAACACACATTTAAAATACATCCCAAATTTAACAAATAACGTTGCCAAATGCTATTCATTTTGTCATTGGGGTTAGTTGCAGGGAGGAAACTAGACTGATAACATATTTAACTGAGCATGAACATTAGCAATAAAAAAATGTACAGCAACATCTTAAAGATTTTGAATTAGTCCATTAAAATCAAAAATACAATAACACTTTGAACCAGATTGCCATAAGCTTTCAATTATTTACAAATAAATAAAACCTAGTGTACTCTGCAACTGCAAAAGCTCAAAAAGATGACTTTCATTTTTATATACTACAAATTTATTTAACACATTTTATGCACGAATTCATTAAATAAATAAATAGATGACACCATACAGTTTTAGAATGAATAACATACATTGTACTAGCCAACAACATTAAAGGACAATAAAAAAGATTAGAGGTGCGTAATTCTAGGATAAGAAATGATTTATAAACTATGTTTTTCTTTTTTCTTGAAATTACTGGTGAGATCCTTACATCTTTAAGCACTTACACTGCAACAGCATAATCTCATATGGAATACTTAATACTTTTTATATTAAACAACAACCTATATATAAAATGGCGCCCGCGTTGAAACACAAAACCAAAAAAATCTGTAACTCGCAAGTTCTAACCAGAAGAGTAACAATTCTTGTTCTTTTGAGAAAATGATTCCCAATTCCCCTACTATAGTTCAAATGAAAGTAGGGAAAAACTGAAAATAAAAGCCATATTATTAAGTTAGGCCTAGTATACCCCTTAAATAGATATAAATGTAGGTTGAAAAAATGTTTACGTTGCAGGTAAAATGAAGAAAAACATCCAGTTTTTATCAATATTGTACATTCCATTATTCTTTAAGCTTAAACTAAAATGAAGTTTCTTTTCAAACTCATAACATAAAAACAAAATTAGATAATATTCTGTTAATCAAAAAAAAAAAAAAAAAGTGTATTATTCTATTCAATATCTTTATAACATATATAAACTCATAACAAATTTCTGTTTCATCCATCCAAAATTTAATATTTTATCAATATTGTACATTCCATTATTCTTTAAGCTTAAACTAAAATGAAGTTTCTTTTCAAACTCATAACAAAAAAACAAAATTAGATAATATTCTGTTAATCAAAAAAAAAAAAAAAAAGTGTATTATTCTATTCAATATCTTTATAACATATATAAACTCATAACAAATTTCTGTTTCATCCATCCAAAATTTAATTTCAGGAAGGATCTCCCCCTACCTTGTTTGTTGGCTAGTACTAAATGTTCATTACATCTCCCAAATCATCATCTGATAAGACGGTCTGAATGAGTAGCGTTAGACCGAGGTCTAACATCTGATTCCTCTGACGACAACAGCAAGTCACAGTCTGGGTCGTCAGATCTTTCTATGCGACTGTAACATTTGACAGTATCAGAATTATGAAAGTACTTGACTCTCCCTTCAGAAGCTGAGTTCACATATATTGTCTTAGAGTTTTGTATGGAGTGTTTCAGGAAATTGTCCACAACCCAGAAAACTATGGCCTGCAGGAGACAAAGAGTTCAATCTAAAAGAAAGTTTTAAGTTCAAGGCTATTTCTTAAAATGCAAGTTTTATGACAACAAGCCTCACCCTGCAATTCATCAATGACTTAAAATATAATCATGGTTCAAGATTTGTTAAATAAAGTAAACTACTATTAACAACAAATAACTGTTTTGATCTTATTGCATTACTTCAATACTAGATAAGATTAGTAGAAGTTATGAATAAACCAGAGATCATAATACAATATTTAACATAATATACTAACTTTATTACAACCCAAATTAGATAAACAAGAGATAAAAATTAGCATAAGCTGCCTTTCTGGTGTGGTTTTCTTTTAACATAATATAATTAGGGAGAAACTTACATTAACAACAAGAGGAACAAGGAACATGACTAGAACGATCTCCACTTCAGGGTTAGTGATGGGTGCCATTATAAACATTCGGACCTGAACCAAATAAAAATAGAACTATAAAAAAAAAAGGAACATTATAATGAAATGATTCAACTAGAACTTCTCAGTGGAACTTTCAAGATGACTTTAAGCTGTAAGGGAATAAAATATTTTAAGGAAATGAATTAAAACCAGAGGGATAAATCATCTTTTTTATTTTGGTACATAAGAAATGAGTAGATTTTTCTGATGTAAAACAGGGTTTTTAAAAACAAACTCAGAAAAAAATAATAGTACAATACTCTCAGATGGTTAAGAGAAATAACAACAATCATCAAACACATTTCATTCATGCTACAACCTTCTTTCAGTAATCATTCAAGATTAAACTTTAAGTTTAATTTCTAACTATCTGATTTACTACAAACGCATAAGCTTTAATTTCACAGCTAAATAACCTCCAAATTTTGCAATATCCGGAAATTTGTACCGGCAAGAAAGAAATTTGTGAGAACTGATGATTGTCCTAAATTTGTTAAACAGATTTTATTAAATTTATTTAAAATGTTTCTTAAGGGAAGATAGCATGTAACTTTAAAAATGTAAACTTATTAATAAGTAAAAAATCCCCACAGCCACAAGATTCCATTTTTAAAAAAAACTTCTATCCAAAAATTTTCACTTGAACAAATTTCTTTCTTACAAATTTCCAGCAAACAAATTTTACTTGTCCAATTGAATTTGAAAGATGCTTTGAAATAAATAAAAAAAATTATGCACCATCAGTACACATACCTCAGTCCAAAATTTAAATAGTACTAGAAGTGTCATCAGCAACTTGGTAACAATCATGACTAGAATGTATAGAGCACACTGGCCAACCCAAGCATTACATTTTGGAGGGTCACCTACAAGTGGAAAGGAAGGTTTGATTTATATTAATGTGTATTGATTTTTCTCTAAAACAAGAAAGATGTATCAACTCCAGCCCCTTTAATAATTCTTAGACTAGTAGTGGTTATATATAGAGAGTTGAAGTGTAGTGACAAGCTGAAAATGTCAGAAGCATACCATACTCTCCAAAGTATATAGATTTCCACCCATAGCGATGAGCTAAGATCTGACATGATTTGAGCCCAAGGTAGATCACCAGTAACCCAACGGTGGAGTCAAGCAAAAAGCTGATAAAGTACCTTCAAGACAAACAAAATGTTAATGTTTTTTTTTAATGGTTCTTGCATATTAGTGTTTTCCAAATAATAAAAAACCAATGAGTTAATTTATCAGAAGAATTCATTAAAAACAACAGTAAAAAAAACTAAATTATCTTTAAGGTTTTTATTAAATAAATATTTTTTATATGGTACAAAATAAGTTATATTTAAGTAATAATATATAGCAATGGGGAGAGTAAATCCTACAACAACAAAAAAGTTTGGGGTTCTATGACTAATTGCAGCCGCCATTCCGCAGATACGTTTCACTTCCAGCCACCCCCCCCCTCTCTAAAGAAATTATTTATTATTTAAATGAAAAAGTGATAATTTGGTTACCAAGTGCAAGGATCTCCCTGAAAGACATCAGACAGAAACAAGTTGGCAAAGTGCAGAACAGCAGCACCAACACCTTGTTTTGAAGTATCAAAGAACCTTAAAAATCATAAATAGTTTCAACATTAAGGTTACAATGCAATAAACTAAATTAGCAGTGAAAAAGAGAAACATGAAACTGTTGAATAATTGAACTTCAAGACCTAATTGTATAATTGAACTTCCAGACATGATTTTTTGGACTAATTCAAAATCACATAATTTTTATTACTAGTTTCATCCAAGTATTCCTGATTCCTAATATCAGCAATAGTTATTCTACAGTTCATTTAGTAATTTAAAAAACTTCTATCTACTCACAGTTTTTTAATATCCAGTTAATGAAATACACTTAGAAAAATGTACGAGTTTGTATGAATTTACTAAAAATATAAATTATATTGTAATATCAAATTAAAAAAAAAACTAAATGTAGAAAAAATATCTCCATCACCTGAATATGTTTAAAATATAAAGTGATATGTAGGACTTTAATCTTAAATATCCTCTGCTTCATATATTTATTTGGCAACCCTGAGGAATAATGGTAAAGCTCTCCTCGATGGTGGGTTCAAATTCATTTGGAATCTTGTCAGCCAGTTGGTACGGAGTCATTAAGGCTGTGGGATTTAAATAAGTTCCCTGAAAGTTGACCAGCTATAAAAATAGCTTAATGAAATTGGAATTACTGGCCACCTATGTGCAAAACACAAAAATTTATATTATCTTTATTAGGCAAGAAAGTGAAAATATATTACCATATCATCCAGGGTCTTCTAGATGGTTTAGGTTCACAATATCTCTTTACTGAAATAAATAAATTAAAAAAACTAAAAGAGTTGTATTCTGTACCACTTTAATAGATTGTTTCAACATATGCATATTTTGTAATTTAGTGTACGAGAGGAATTTTTTTTATATTTATTAATGTTTAAGGTAACATTAACATCTCGGTGTACTAAAGTTTCATCCCACAGATTTAAGCATCCTGGTTTAAACATAATTTCAGCTTAGACATTGATATGTAACTATTTTTATATAAAAAATACTCAAAGAATGAACAACAACCAACCTATTAAAGATGTAAAGGCAAGTAAGGCAAGTAAAGCTTGAACAAACAAGCCAAGTACTCCAGTTAAATCCCCACGACCGCAATGTGATCCGGTCTCATTGCTTGAGTCTAGCTTTTCTTCTGTCATAACCGATGTATTTACTGGTGAGTAGATGCTTAGGTGATGTGTTTGTTCAACAATAATTTCATCGCTCAAACTCAGACTATTGAGTATTACACTCATAGTCCCAGTATCATAATTATATTTAGCTTAGATCACGACTTGTTTACTCGTGTGCATAAATCTGTCTTCATCAATCATGACTTGAATGCAGCAAGCAAAGTCTACACAGGAGATCTGAAAAAAAAGTATTTTTTTTATTAAAAATGTTCCATTAAGTTTCATACAAATTTGACTATTGTATGAAAAATTCCCAGGTTTCCAAATCATGGGCCACGACCCCAAACGAAAATGTAAGTGTTAAGATGTTCACTTTAAACAGAGAGCTTTTATTAAATCCTCAACCTCAGAAAAATTTCCTCCTTGCAAAATTAGCAGTTGAATCAAGTGATCAATATTATTATAGGAGCCAGAATGATCAATACAATGAAAAAATATAGAAGAAGATATGAAAGACACAGGGGTAGTAAATTGGTTCAATGTTTTAGAGCTCTAGAACGACCTGAAAACTATTAAAAAGAAATTCAGGTATGTTATAGAGTAAATGGAAGACTATGATATACCACCTTAACTGCCTTAAGAGGCAATCCATAAAAGATGTTACACATCTTAAAGAAAAAAAAGGGGTTTCATGATTTTGTAAGTTTTTATTTTTGTGACAAATTTGTGATGATGTGGAAAAGAAAAAGAGGCGCCTCTGCTGGTTAAGCCATGGGGGGGGGGGGGGGAACCCAGATTTTTTTTTTTGGGGGGGGGATTGGGTCTCCCCCTTTTTTTAAAAATGTTACTTCTTCAACTTCTTGAATTATTTCTTGAAAAGCGAAAACAATAACCTAATAACTCTGATAAGTATACATTAAAATCTTTATGTGTACAAATGAATCAAATGATTAGAATAACTCAAATAAGAAATTAAAGACTTCTTGGTACCATAAGCAAACTTCTTTACTTTATGTTCAATACTCATGCAGGAATAGTTTTCTTACATTAGCATTATTGTGGTCATTAGGTTTATTACATATTCCTATTGTTACATGTATACTAGCCAAGTACATCTTTGCTACGTCTACCCAACACCATGCTAGCCTTTTGTTTCTTAATTGGCTAAAATGCAGTAAGCTACAGGGTGGCCGATGTCCTCCACTGTATTTAGGTTATGGAGGTTCTTCAGGTTTAACTACTACCCATAGTTCCGCATTCAAAAGTTGTTGATTTTTAACTCCGTATTAATTTGATAAATGTCTTTTTTTCTCATTTTTATTTTTGTCTTGAAAGTAGGGGGAGGAAAGGTTAAATATTTTGTTTCTTATTTCTGTAATATTTTAGAAAATAATGGTAAAAATTTCCAGGGAAATGCAGTCATGAAGAAATTAATAGCATATGGGTACTTCTTTCGTTAACCAACTTAAAGATAGCTGTTTTAAAATGTTTGCGTCTTTTTCCGGTGTAAATCTTAGGGCATTAGCAGGGATGAGATTTTAAAAAAAATTTCTTTTGAACTTTGTAAGTTGAATTTTTGATATTAACTGTATCGATTGATACATTTATTTTATGACCCCAATAATGCTCTTCTTCTTTATTTTGAGGGCCCACGATCAATGAATTGATCATTCTGGCTCCTATGTTTCAGAGGGGTTTGCGATATTACTGTGCATGGGTTTCAATGGGATGCTTCACTGGTTGCAAGGGTGACTCAGCAGTGGTGTTACGAACTGGGGTTGGAATACAGGAGGCAATAGACACAAATGTGTCGAGTGTAGCCGCCTCAACTGTTGCTTTTGGAAGCTTGTTCCAATCCCCTATTGTCTTCGGCAGGAATGAGGAGCTCCTGTACTTTGTTCTTGTTTTTACCAATAGTTGGTCCTGAACTATGTGTATGATTCATGATAATTTTTCTCACTCTGTGAAGAGTGAGAAAATTATCATGAATCATACACATAGTTCAGGACCAACTATTGGTCTATGATACTATGCATCCTAATTTTTAATGCACCCTAAGTTATCAGTCTGTGTTGGGATTCCCCAAAGTGATGTCACTATGCTTAGCGTGAGACAATTCTTGTCAAAACCCATGCCGTCAACTATAGTTACAGTATAGTATAACCACTTAATTTAATACACTATTAATAATAACATACCAATGCTAGTAATATTAACATAATAATAATTTAATACTATTACTAGGTTAGGGTTAGGGATATTTTACTATAGGCCTAATCATAGTGACCCAAATAGTCAATTGCTTAAATAATAGTAGTAATATGGGGGAGAGGGACGAGTTTCTGTTTAATGCTGGAGCAGTGGACCAGCCCATTATTGATCTTATACATTATGGAGAGCCTGGATAGTCGTTGTCGTTCCTCCAATGATGACCAGCCAAGTGTTTCCAGCATGCTGCCAACACTAGAGGCAGAGGCATTCCTGTAGCGATTCAGGAAAAAACATGCTGCCTGTCACTAGACCGCCTCCAACCTGTCGATGCTCTTCTGGGTAAATGGGTCCCAGACTGAAGATGCATAATCTAAAACTGGACGGACAAAGGCTCTTTCTTTCACTTTCACACTTTCAATGGTAATAATAGTAAGTTAGTAAGTAATGGCAATGGACTACCAAACTGATTTATCACGTCTTAGTGTTAAAGTTAAAGCTGAAGATGCATAATCTAAAACTGGACTGACAAAGGCTCTTTCTTTCACTTTCACACTTTCAATGGTAATAATAGTAAGTTAGTAAGTAATGGCAATAGGCAATGGACTACCAAACTGATTTATCACGTCTTAGTGTTAAAGTTAAAGCTTCTTTAAATTAAAATTACTATTTGTTGTTGCCTTGTTTTTTTGTTTGTTAACAGTGTCGTGTGGCTCAGACTTTTAACTTTTCAGTATAACTAGTACTATAAGTTATAAGAAAGTTATAAGAATAAGATTAGAATACTACTGACTATTGACATTGATAATATTGTCTATATTATTATTATAATTATAATACTTATATAGAATATAGTCTAAAGTCTAAGCCTACCCAATGATTTGAATGAGATGATACTTTCGTTTATTCTAATTATAATAATAGCTGATAATTATGATATGCCCACACAAAAAAAAAAAAGGAAATCCCTTACTGTTAAGTTTACTTTTAGAGTTTATTATGCATTTAAAGCCCAGAGATAACAACTAGCGTACTTTACCTTCGATGAACCGGAAATACTCATAATTTCTATTGCCAGATATTCTTGCATTCAGCTAAATTGATAGACTTGTTAATGCACTGCTTTCAAGTCTCAGTGTCACTTACTTTAAAAACCGAAAAGACCATGTTAAAACCGACATGCTAGAATTTCATCTTAATTCTTGGCAATATTAACATGAGACTAAGACAATTTCGGCCTACCCAATTAATGGATAAGAGAGATACCGTTTCAATAAAACAATAGAACTAACTAAACACAATTTTTTAACAAATTTAAATTTAAAAAAAAAACAAGAAAATTTGTACTGTGACCCAATGAGCTCCACTTGTTGATGGGAAAAGTTAAGAAACATTTGTAAAGATGTACAGATATTTAATTACAAAAAGAGAAGACAACCCTTCGTTAGAGTATTAAAATTGTGTGCTAAAGAAAATTGTTGTCTTTAAATTTTCAGTTGTTAAATATTTTTTTTTAAAATGATAATTTTAAATCTGTTGCTTTATCATATTTCACAGACCAGCTAGGTGTAGGCTTAACAATATTTTAATTGCAATTAAACAGCGGAGAACAGTGGAGAAGAGGTTAAGTCTGGACTTAAGGGCCACCCATAAATGACGTCACGCGCCTAAAAAAAAAAGGGGGGGGGTCAGATTTTTGTGACGAGAGTGAGGTGGGGGTCAAGCAACGTGACGTCACATAAAAAGCGGAATATTGTAGTAAAGATTTGCACTTAACACTAAATTACAGACATTTTTAACATTATTCTTTTATACTAATTATACAATTATAATTATTTTATTTTTAAACTACTTTCACTGAGAGAATGAGTACTTAGAATCGCCAATTGTTATCAAAGGATAGTTGTATTTCTTAGAATTTAGAAAAAATAACTTCCTGAAACTTACAAAAGTTACCGAACACTTCATTCGGCGTTGAAACCTGGTCAAACGGTGTGTTTCTGACCTAATAATAGAGCAATCTAATTGCCGTGGCATCAACCTTGAAATTTAATATTAACGAAACACGCATTTTGATTGGTTAGACGGGTGGAAAATGTACGTGTTTTCTACCTGAAAATAGGGCGCCGATATAATGTTAAGGACCCATAGAACATACCGCATATAATCATATATACATATATATATATATATGGCATCCTTCCGTCTTCGCGAGACAATGGAGTAGCCAGGGATTATTTCAGAAATTTTCGCGGGAGGAGGGGGGGGTCAGTGCCCCCTGGATATGTAACTGAAAGAAACCCTGGGAGTAGCTACGTAGGACAACACTTCGACGAGTGGCTCACTAGGCAAATCCTGGAATGCCAATCTCGACTGCATTTCTCGCAGGAGAATATTGATTCCTGGTTAGATAATTTGGCCTTACGTATTGTTCTTTTGTTGCAAGGGCTTCGTTTCACGCATCTTCTGCTTTTTTTTTGACTCCTTCATTCACTGCTGTTCGCTAGCTGGATCGTTGTTCGGCAATAATCTCCCATTTGTTTATATCAGTGTTGGCTTCCATCGTGCTCTTTTTGCAAACGTCATTAAATCTTAGATGTGGCCGTCTAATAAGTATTGTCCCTTCTGCCAATTCTCCATACAGCAGCATCATTGGGATACGGGCTTCCTCCATTCTCCTTATATGGCCTAACCAGCGGAGGCACCTCTTGCTAAGAGCGGAGAATATATATATATATATATATATATATATATATATATATATATATATATATATATATATATATATATTTAAAAATAAAATAATATAAGATTTTTTTTTAATATATATATATATATATATATATATATATATATATATATATATATATATATATATATATATATATTAAAAATTAAAATAAGATAAGATTCTTTTATTGATCCAAACAACTGAAATGGTTTTTTTTTAAATTTTTATTGTACATATCATTTTCAGCACATAAATAAATAGATATTTTAATAAAGTCCACATTTTTTAACTAAAAAAATT